ATACATGATGGTGCTCTTTTCCTCGTACTATCTCTGTGACTGTGTTTTTTCCTCTCTGTTTTTCAAGTCATTTTGCAGGTTTCTTAAATAAATTTGGATTTGCTACGTTGGGGAAATCAAAATCTAAATCTTTGGGCCACTTTAGATATTTTATATTTTGTTAATCACATAAATATTTAGTATTTTGTGTTATTATGTGTCATTTATTTAAATATAATATCACATTTGATCATGATATGTTATCTTAATATGTGCCTAAATGTATATAACTGATATTAATCACGTATAATTCACATGCAATTCATGTGCAAAATATGTGCAAATCATGTGTTATTCTCGTATCTCCATTGAAAAATATTTCTGCTTCCGTTACTGTTTGTAAGTTGGAGGAAAATTTGGCTGAACCTAAAATAGATTTCAATATAGAAGTTGAAGACCATGACAAAGGGTAAGCTTTGTCACCCCAGTTATAGTAAATTAGTGATGATGAGAATTATTAATATGCAAATTTGAAGGTTGATTATGTGAATTTGAATGAAATTACTATTCATGTGAATCTGAACTAAAGGATGTGTATTCTTAAAATTATTGGTAGTGAGGTGTTAAATTGTCTCAATCCTAAAAGAAGCAAACAATGGTCTGAATTGATAACAGGATTTCTGATGGTATTGTGTTTAAAAACTATTTTGAGCATGGACTTTACACCGATGAGGTAGTTAACGTTTTAAATGACAGTGGTGTGGTTGAATCCAGTGATTGAAGCAAATCCCTCGAAAGATCCAACTTTAACAGGCACCACGAAAGATTTAGTGTTTTGAGTCCACGGTAAATGTCAAAGTTTATAGAACTGCTGGTGCTTTTGGCATACTAAGTAAACTTATCTGGTGAGAGTCTAGTGAATGTGAGTGAGAGAGTCTTGTTGTTTTTCACAACTTTAGCCGCCATTGTTGCGTAGTTAAGATCTTTGTCTTCGGCGGGGAACTACTTCACTACATCTAACATTAATTCCCATTTTTTTTGTCCACTTTTCATGAGATGATCTTGCCGTATATCCATCTGATGTGGTCGGTGTGTGACGTCTCATACACAAGTCCCGGGTGCGTAGCTTATAGCAGATTCAGATGTCCTTCTCTGTAAAGAACTTTGCATTTCTATATTATGCATCCATCACATTCATCTTGAAAGCTATAATAATTAATAGAGCAAAAAAATTAGGTATGAACTTAGGTACAAGAACTACCTAAAAATTCAATGGCAGAAATGTCATATTCACCAAGTCACTAGAATAGACCTGCAGGGATGTAAGGATTTCACCTAAACAATTGGCCCCATGACATGAGTGCATGCCATTGATGTTCCTAATGAAAAATTGTAATCCAAAGATCTTTGATCAAGATCAGGAAAGCCAGAGGAGGAAACAATAGCTGTGAAGGCCGCCAAGATATTGACTCCACGTGCAGTATTCGGTTGCAGTTTTGCAATGTGTGATGAGGTTACTGCTATGAAGAATAACATATGTCAAATAGAACAAACTAGAAATTGCTGATAGCGTTTGGAGTATCGTAAAAATGTGTAGAGTTCATGGTAGGTTAGTTGTCTTACATCGGTATCTATGAGTAACAGAGAGTATTTAATAAAATAAATTGGTCTCAAAACCTAGTATCTTGAGGTTTTAGATTTGTGAGGATTTCTACTTACTTATTGGGCTAGATATTGGAATCCTCTGAGTCTTATCACCCGTTTCAGAATTCCGGACAAGTAGTATCTAAGTCTTATTATCTTATTCTCTCCACCTTCTCCATCCTCTAATCTCCAATTTTTAGAAAAGACGCTGTCTCTAATTTTATCGATGGTCTCCACCCTCCTTGTCGATTCGAATTGAATCCATCGGCCCCTTTTTTTTTTCAGATCTAGATTTTTATTGGTTTGGTGTTGGATATTGAATTGAGGGGTTCCTAGTTTATTGTTATAATAGTACTAGTGATGTCTGATCGCGCATGGCCCAATCTATCTGTAGATCTTAGAAATGTTTATATTTAAAAAAAATAAAATTTTGTATTTGGAGCGATATTTTTTAGAAATGTTTGAAGGATTTAGAAATGTTAAGTGTGATCATAGAAATATTTGTATTTCACAAAAAAAAAAGAAATTGTATTTCGCCATGTATATTTTAGAAATGTTTTATAAGTGTTACTTATTAAATATAAATAGACTTAATCGAATATATGTGTTGAAATAAATGTTAGACAAAATATAAAAGTATCGTAATAAGTTTAAATATTAGTAAGATGATTTATTGATGTTCGTCATTGGTCGTGCCAAATCAATATTTAGTTTTGGAGATTTTTAATAGCTTTATAATAAGTTTCATCCGAAGGGTATACGCTTAAAACAAAATTGACACTTTGTAACAAAAACCTAATTGATCAATTCAATTTAGACTCTATAATTAAGAAAAGAAACCACTCTAATTGAATGAAACATAAAGAAAAAAAAAAACGTGTCACGTAAAGTGTAAAGGGAGATTTAGTAATTTAGTTATGGTTAGACAAAAGGGCAATAATACTTTCCTCATGTCACGTGACAATCATAGGAAGTGTTTGAAAGGGGGATTTTTATTTCTAATATAGTAGGATGTGTGGAATGATCTGCGTCTATAGACTATTTTTAATTGTAGTACAAAAATTCTTTCATAAAATTTGGGATTGGAATGAATCTGCCTTTTTATTTAACATTAAAATGTGCATTTAAGTAGGGTTGTTGTATTGGTTCAGCTGAACCGAAACCCGAACTGAAAAACCCGAATATTTATTCGACCAATTTGGTTCAATGTAATAGATTTTGCATTTTGGTTTCGGACGGTTCTTATGAAGGAAAAAATTTGATTAACCCGAACCGACCAAATCGCCCAATTTGACAGTCCTAGGTGGGATATGGGTTACAACTGAAAAAGGAATGGGGCTTTGATGTATTGAGCTACTCATGATGGGGAGTCTCAAAACCTATTACCTTTGAGATTTTAGGTTGAGATGGGTTTCTAGTTATTGGGCTCGATATTGGAACTCTCTGGCCCTTATCTTCCGGTCCGGAATTCTTGGCAGAATGTTTGGGAGATAAACACTAGGCCTGCTGGTCGAGAAGGGAGCAACATTGGGTGAATTCACATCTTTAATAGGTTCACTTCTTAACAAGTTCCCTGTAGGCGATATGAAAATCAAGGAGAAATGATGAAATCAGTAGGGATGATTTAGAGGATACTAATACGAATCCCTCTGGAGAATCTGAAGAAAGACATTTGTAGGTATTGATGACTCTTGCATTACAACAGTTAATCACACAGTAGAATCCAATAAGATTCTTCAAGTTAATTATTTCTTTACTCATGAGAAAACTCCTCTTTAAAAGCGTAAATTTTGTTTTAAAATTATTGTCCAGTTTGGGTTTTTACTTTTAATTCGTTTTGTATTCTGAATGAAAATCTAACATGGACAATATTGGGAGAGAGGTAGTACAATACATAATGAACACTGCGAAATACTCACTTTTTCGAATTGATGAAGTCTACCACTTGCTTGAATAGCAGAGGACTGAGAACTGAGAATGGTAAAAGAGTAAAAAAAGCACTGTCTGTGATACTCGTATCATCAACTGCAATCACGCTGACGTTACAAACCACAATGTTACCCATGACAAGGTCTCTGTCGAGGCAGTTGTAGCTAGGCACACCTCCTGCAACATGAAAATGGACACAGTTATTCTTATGTGTTCATACTCATATATGATTGATGGTATTAACCATTACAGCCTAATGAACTGGTGGGATGATCAACTCATACTCTGTATCTGTGACAGAGCAATTCCTTGAAGCTTTCTTTCCATAAACAAGCGGGAATTATGTTCCATTCAATTCGAAAGCATTAATCCCCTTGGTTTTGTTACACAAGTAAATCAAACATATATATATATATATATATATATATATATATATATATTATTTTAGCTAGGTAACTTATTAGACCTGGAAGGGGAAAAAAATGTTGCAGACAATACATACATATAGTATTACATAACTGTTGCAGAGGTGGACGGGTGCATAGAACGAACCTGATAAACCGGAACTTTGTTGCCGATCACCTATTCCTTTTCCTCATAAGAGAAAACGTGACTGGAGGGTAGCATAGTTAATCCCCTTGAATCTTAAGTAACCATTATTGATAAAACTTATGGTGCAGTAGAAAAACATCACAACAGAGCAGCAGTTGGAGGAGTTCTGCGAAATCATTATGGAGATCGGCTATTTGGTCTTACCAAGAATGTTGGATAGCTTTGTTTGTTTCATTTTCTTTGTTGGTTTTTTTAAATTAAAATATTAATAACTGTCTCATTTCAGTATATTTTTTTACATTTTCACATTTTTTTTACATTCTCAATACGAAAAACACACATTAAAAAAACGAAACAAACATATATGGGGAATATACCACGGGCTTGCCTACGCAAAAGAAAAAGGCTATACAAAGGTACAACCGGAACTTGACAGCACAAAAGTAGTGGATTGGCTTACTAATCCCCTACAGAACTATGTGAGTTTTGGACTCTTGTGGCGAATTAAAAACTTACTTAAGCACACTCTTAGAGACGCTAATGTCTTATCAGATAGGCTTGCCAAATTAGGTTTCTCGATCCCCTTGGGAATTCGATTTTTGTCCGATCTCCCGCCGGATTTAGAATCCATAATCTATCAAGATAAATTAGGTTTTACCTAAAGGTGACTTTTGTATCAAAGCCTTTTGGCTCCTCTCTTATATAAAAAAATAAAATAAAATAAAATAAATAAAAGATTTTGCTATTATTGGAAGCAAAAAAAAAAAAAATTGAAGAAAGTAATAGTAGTTGATAACATTAAAAAAAAAAAAAAGAGAGTTTTTTTAAAGAAGTAAATTGAGTACTGTCCTTTTTACACAACTCTGAAAAGTTTCTTCACACTTGGTTAGAAACAGTAAGAAGAAAAATTGGCGCCATTATCTCATTATTAATGGGTTTCATCATCTTTCCCACTGGCTACCCTGCAACCCTAGTAAATTTTGCTTCTTTCTCCCTCATTACAACCCCAGAATTGCTTTTCATTTTGTGAGTGTTTTGTTTTTGAAATTTGGAATTTTGTTTCTTTCATTTGGGCTTTACAATTCAAGGGCTCCGAAACCCAGAAGCCAGAGCACACAAGAAATGTTTTTTCTCTTGATCTTCTTCCCGTTCTAAATTCTTTTTTTTTTTTTTCTCTGTTTCTCCTTTTCAAAATTCCCGGTCATGGAATGGGCATCCACTAGTATTGCTAACCGGGTGAAGGGGAGAAAGCTCTTTCAGCAAAAGGTTGGAGGGGAAAAGGCCACATCTTCTAAGTTTTTGGAATCTGATACTGAAAGTGAAAATGAGGAGGAATATGTGAAGAAGATAAAGGGATTTAGGAGAAGAAAGAGGCGTGATAGTGGTCAAGACCCTGAATGGAAGAAGAGTCGAAGATCAAGCAGCGAGAAGATAATTGATGGTACTCTTTTCCTCTCTGTTTTTCAAGTCATTTTGCAGTGTTTCTTAAATAAATTTGGATTTGCTATCTTGGGTATCAAAATCTAAATTCTTGGGCCACTTTAGATCGATGAAACGGTCCCTAAAAATTGTTTGTATTTGTCTGATGAGAACTTTCTGTGGCTCAGAATGGGAGAAAGAAAGAGTTTCTTCATAAAAATTATATCCTTTGGATAGAAATTGAAGCTTCTTGTCTCTGCATACCTCCTGCGAAAGTTAGTATGGTGTACTAATACCTATGATCTCTCTGTCTAATACTATTATACAGTACTTGTTCCAATTAACACTTGCATCTTTCTGTTGAGTAATTATGTTTGATTTGTAGATGATACTATGATAGTTGTTTCATGCTTAATGATCAGCTGATAGTGTAATGATCAGCTGTCACCACAAAATAATAACTAGCTGCAAATTTTGTTCTCTGTAGATGATTCCGAAGTTGTGCTACTTGATGATAGTAGTGATTCTTGCCGCAGTAAATCCCAGAGTTCAGATTCTGTTGAGTTCATACTTGAAATACCAGATAGTGATTCCTGGATGAATTTGAAAGGAAAGTCAATGAGCAAACGGAAAAATGCTGTTGTTAGTGAAGAAGGAAAAGAATGTGATGTGCAAGAACTTTGCCACAGCAACAGCGAACCTGAAATTTTTCAGCAGTCAAGCTCAAGAAGCAAAAATGAAAACTTACCAGCTTACCCTAAAGATCAGGGTCAACGAGGTAATGATCCTTCTTACCACAACTAGCCTGATTTAGATTGAGACTTCAGCTTTAGCCTGACTTGATTTTTTAGTTATCACAGTAAATTTAGCAAGATTGGAATTGATGTATAATTGCTTAAGAACAATAGGCTCATATGCCATCTTTAACTATAATGTTAGGATATTTCACTTAGGAAAATGGCCTACTGTGATTGTTGACATACACATGTTGCTTCTTTCGCATGCTTCGAAAGCAAATTACTGCTGTAGATAAGAAGGAAAATGCTACCAGCACACATTGGAAGAATATAGTGTTAAATGAGCTATAAATGGATTCACAAAGTAAAACCAACTGCGATCTCACATGTTTAGTTTTACTTGGCATATTGTTTTCTTCTACTTCCCATATTCAGCCTACTGATTTTCATACTCACTTTAGAGAAGAGCTGTTAATTTGACCCTTAGGGTCCTTCAGTTCTTTTTGTTATGTCTTTTAACATGATCTGGATTGGTTGCGTCCTTAACGTAGTGCTGTGATTCGACCATTTGCTTGACATTTTGTATGACAAAGAGAACATTTTTTTGGTTCTTCAAGCTTCTTTCATATAACCTTGCGTATTTTGCTATTTGATTTTAACAGGCTTGGGCACCAAAAAGCTAGTAGAAGAGCATACATTTGAAGAAAAAAATATGTTTCAGGGTAAAAGCCCAGCATATGCCCAATCAAGCCAAAATGTAGTTGAGGAAATGAGGAGCAAAAATGCAAAGAATGAAGGGAACTCCAACAATGTGTCGAGAAGGAACTCCAATGCTGGGAGGAAGCTCAAAGGAGTTGCTGTTCTGACAAAGAACAACTCTTCGAATAGAAGGAATGATGATTCAAAGTTTCGCGTCAGAGCGACTAAAATAGGGTCTAAAACCAAAAAAGTACAGAAAGATGTGTCTATAGATTATTCTAGTACTTCATGTTCTTCTGATACAGAATCTGATGATAGGGATGATGAAGATTTTCGAGTAGAAGAGAGCTACTCTTCTGTTGGTGTGGAGTCGCCGATCTCCTTAGCCGATGAAGAAGATGAAGAATTTAGTTGGCTAAGAGAGGGAGAAAGCACAAAAGAGGAGGTAAAGAAGAAGCCAAGTTCCAATAAATCAAAGCCACTTCTATCTGAAGAAGAAGACAACAAAGACATGAGAAATGAAGTACATTTGAAGGAGAATTTACTTGGGAAGAAATGGAAAACAAATTGCAGCAGAGATGATGGGAAATGGGGAGGAGATAATGGCGATAGCCAACATGAGACTTTCTTTGAGGCAGCAAATCAGGAATCTTTGTTGTCTTCAGCAAATCAGCAAATCAGGCATGGTGAATTCAAATGGAGACAAAATCGATCAGCTGCATGAAGGAGTGAAATTTGTTGAGCCAAAGCAAACTCAGCCACAGCAAAATGACAGCTTCGAAGGCCTAATTAAATCCATTATAGGCAATGATGACCAGTAGTTATCTTCTGTGGTCTTCCAAAAGGTTTCATCCTGCCTGAGAAATTCTGTTCCGAGGACAAAAGAGACGAAAACAAGTAGAAAAAAAATTAAAAATCAGAACATGAAAATGTAATTCGGGTCTTCTTCGTTGAGTTAATGGAAGCTGATTCTCTTTGAGACGTATTTCCTCGTGCTCTAGTCCAAAAAAAAACAAAAAAAAACATGATGATCACCATATCTTAACTGTACTGAACTCGTGCCACATTTGTGCCTGTGATGTTTGGTCATGACTTGTTTTAAAACGTTTCGCTCTTGTTTCTATAGCTGTAAATGTGTTGTCTGTCTTGTGTTTTGCTATATAGGTGAAATTTGTGACTGCGCATAAATCCATTACCGTATGTTATTATTATGTAGAATTCGTATTAACTATTAAGGTCTAGTTCAACAGAATTTCTTGGTTTTATTGCAGGAAAATTTCTTCAACTTCTTGACTTGTTTGTCATCACAGCAAATAGGAGAGGCTAAACCGCTGAAGTATATTTTGTGGTAGCAGCTCGGAAGACTTGGAATGGTTAAATGTAGTAGTATTTAAAAATACGTTTGTAAACGTTTCCAAATAGCTTAAGTTTGGTTGGCTATTTTTTTTTATGGATTAGGGGTAAGGGTCTTATTTGGGACAGAGCAAAGTTGTATGTGGATAAATGTTTGCTAATTTCCTTTCACCACTGGGCATTGAACCACATTTCAAAAGCGAACATCTCATGTATGAGGTTCTGGAGCTTATAATTCAAAGTTTCTTCGGAGCATTTACCCATTGCATCATTCCAGTGTCATCAATAACAGAGTCTGACGAAGCCTAGAATTATAACTCCGGTTGAACAGTGAAACTCCGATTAGGGTTTCCTGCAAAAGAGGGCCTCGAGAGTCTCCTGATAGTAGACACTCCGATGCTTAAGTCAGAAAATAGGGTTATGAAGTATTGTATGTATGATTATTGGAGCTAGAAATAGCGTACCTTTATTGTGGTGAGATCAACCATATTTATAGACATGGAATTACTTTGAGGGAAGTCGAATTCTATTAGAGTTCTTATTCCCGAACTGCCTCTGTAAGATTGGTTAGGCCCTAATTAACGGATAGATCAGTCCGATAATCCTTGGTGGATATAAACTTGTCAGAGTCGAAACCTGTCAAATCAATAGTCAATAACATGACATCACAACTCTTCACGAAGTTTTGCATTTGGAATCGAGCATGTTAAGTGTGTTCTAAAAGATCATAGGAGTTAACACTAGAAATTGGGTTGTTGATTTCATGTGCTCAGAGAAGGGAATTTTTTGCCGCAAATTATCTTGCATTTTCTGCAACGTTAATTTTATAGAGTTACTAATACCTTCAACATCCATTACCAATGTTGATCTTCGCATGATGTAATAAAAGTGAAATATCCTATAAACATTGTAATAATTGAATAAACGCATTAGTCTTCTTCAATGTACTAAAAAAAGAAAAACAATTTAAAAGTCTGTTTGATATGTAAGTATAATGAGTCACATTCGATTTGTCCATTTTTCTTTTTCCCCCCTCCTTTTCATCAAACGTTTTTTTACACCAAAGTAGTGCAGAGATAAATCCAAATGAAAAAAAAAATTAAAAACAAACAGAAGAAAAAAAAAAAAGAGTGCCGAAATATGAGGCAAACTATATGATAGGGTGGCCCGTGCCTATAAGGTGTGAGAGATGTGAGAATGATTTGCAATCATGCTAGTTTTGTGTGGATTATTAGGTTGTACGCTGCTGTTGTACTTCATCTATTACCCTTTTATCCGAATGTTTGGAGTTTGATTTTTATTCTTCAAAAATTTTGGGGACAGAAAGAATACTGAAATTTATATTTATATTTGCTACGACTTGTAAATATGCATACTTGCAAACCTGTTTCCACTCCTTTGCAGGCTAATGTTGTGTTGTCCCGTTTGGATGGTACTCTGTTGTCTCCTGATGATGCGACTACTTATCGTCGGTTGTGTGGCAGTCTGCAGTATACCACTCTCACTCGTCCAGATATCTCCTTTGCGGTTAATAAGCTTTGTCAGTTCATGCATCAGCCTCACACTTCTCATTTTCAGGCTCTCAAACGGGTTCTTCGCTATCTTCGTGGTACCATTGATTTCTGTTTAGTTCTGCATCCTACAGATTTGGGTACTCTTACTGCGTTTAGTGATCTTGACCGGGCTGGTTGTCCGGATGATCGTCGTTCTACTACTGGTTTTCTCATTTATTTGGGACCTAATCTCATTGCTGGGCATCTAGGAAGCAGCCCACTATGGCTCGCTCGTCTACCGAGGCCGAGTTTCGTGCGGTTGCTAATGTCTCGTGTTGAATCGCATTGGGTGTGTCATCTGTTGTCCGAGTTAGGCGTTTCTTTAAATCGCCCTCCTCTATTTGGTGTGACAACGATGAGTGCGCTTTCCTTTCTTTGTCAATCCCGTGTTCCATGCTCGTACAAGATATGTTGAGGTTGATTTTCACTTTGTTCGAGATCATGTTCGGCGTAAGTTTGTTTGGTCAATTCTATCTCTGCTGCTGATCAGCTTGCTGATATTCTGACAAAACCCTTGTCCAAAGAGTTATTCTTTCGATTTCGGGACAAACTTCGGCTTCTCTCTTCTCCGCCGTGAGTTTGCGGGGGCGTATTGTAATATTTAGTATATTTCTTATTATAGGGTTTGTTATTGTCTATATATAGTCTGTATATTGTGCACAACACATTATGAATCCAATACAATTTCCCTATTCTAAGTATCTGCCAAACTATATTTGTTTTTTTTTTTGTTTTGTTGCACAAGTGATTTCTTAGCAAATAAATTTCTTTTTTAAGTGTAGAAAAAGATTTTCAAAAAACAACACATTTCGTACGTAAAAGATGTCAACGACAATCGTATGATAATAACAATTTGACACCAATTATAATTGTATTGTAATCACGATTTCGAGTAAATTTAACCATGGTTAATCATCCTTAGCACAAAATCAAATTATCAATGCAACTCCAAAAAAAAAAAACTTGTCAAACTCTTTTAAAAAGTTTTAATTGTCATTTACGTCGAATATCTTCTGCTTGAATCGTGCGAATCTATAGAGCATGAATTTGTTTTAATGGCAGACCAAATTAACAATGGTACATATAATGCCATTAATGGGAAAAAATAAATCTTTTTCGGAAAATTGCCTTTGGTCAAAATCTTGAACAATTACGGGACAGACAAACTACAGTATGTTTTCAAAAGAAAAAAAGAAAAAAAAGAAGAAAACGAAATTCTTTTGTTCGGTTTAGTGAATAAGGCTAACCGTTAAACTCCTACTTCAACACATTTCGTAGGTTAAAAAACACCAAACCGTGTTCGAATCTGTTATGGCAAAAACCACCAAAAAATCAAAATCAGCAAAGTAGTTTCATCTGCATGGACAAGCTGCGTTTATAGACTAGTTCGAATTATTTGTTGAATTTTTTCGTTTGTAAAATTTACGTGTAAAATCAAAGTGATTACGGTTAATGAGTAACATAATCAATCCTGCACAAACGAGTGCGGTGCAACAAGATGAAAATCTTCCCTCAGTTCAAATGAAAGCGGAGATCATTTTGTTTGGCGATTTTTAGTTACTAATTAGTAGCTTAATAGTTGCAGCAATTGTATATCTATAATTTTTTAAGTCTTTTGGACAAGTAATAGTGTCTGTACATACTTCTTATTCAACTAAAATGAAAAAAAAAATTTCATCCAAAAAAACATAATCAATCCTAAATACTAGTATTTGTTTAATTAGATGCTTAGAAAATTTAAAGATTTTTTTTTTACTAAAATAAGTTGTGACCGTCCCTAATAATAGAGGGGTTGTGATCCTTCCGCCTTTAACCGTAGGGCGGGAAGTTCAATCCACGCGGCATGCAGCAAATTTTAAAAAAAAAAAAAGACAAAGAAAAAAGAAAAGACAAATACATTACACTACAATTAACTCTATATGCAATTTCGACAAAATCATTTTTTTATTTTTGATTTTTTTTTCGCTTTTAATTTTTCTCGACAAAGAAATGAATTCTTCGTGCAATAAGGAGACTGTGCAATTTTTAATTTTTTTAATTTTCTTTTGTTGGGGGCAACAGCTGTAAAAAGCTCTCAAAATTAGCCCAAAACGGTAAGAAAGTCACAATTACACACATTGGTTACACTTTACAGTGGTTTGAATGGCAGAGTCTATTGGCGCCATTCCATCACCAAAATGGCAAATCTGACCTGCTCCCCTGAACCACCCTTCCTCCCAGAAAATCTTTCCTCTTTTGCAATTCAGATTCTCTGAAACCCCAAAAATCAAAAATCAAAAAATGCTACCTTTTTCTGACTGGTCCTTTTTTGATTTCTTATTCTTCTTTTTTTCACATGACTAATCATCTGAGATAGATATAATTTCAAAAGTGGTTCTTGTCAGATTATAATCATACAAGGAAGGAGGCAAGCAGAGGTACTTACTATATCTGCAAAATTCCGGGCTTCCGGCGGATGTTAACGGCGGTGTTCTCAGGTGGGCTTTGGCTAAAAATCTTCATCTTCACCGGTACCGGAGCTTTCTCCGGCCAAACAAGATTTTCAGCGCAGAAAGAACCCATTTTTTTGCTCCCTTTTTGTGGGAGATAACTTTAGTGAAAACAGCTTATACATTTGAGAACTCTTTGGAAAAATAAAAGGCATACGAAGAGTTTTTTGTTATTTTTTTTCCGTTGAAAAAGGCCTGATCTTTTCTGATTCTGAGTTAGTACAAAAAAAAAACCATATCGTTTGGTTTTGTTTCAAAGTTCTAATCATGAACTCTCCACCGCTTACAATTGCTCAACGAGTGAAAGGTCGAAAGCTTTTCCAAGAAAAGCTCCAAGAAAAGCTGTCTGCTGGAAGGAAACAAAAGGCCAAGTATGTGGAATCTGATAAGGAGAGTGAAGAGGATGTGAGGAGTGTGGGACTCAAGAGAAGAATGAGGCCTCAAGGGCCGAATCCAGGAAGGAAAAGGCGCAGATCAAACAACACCAATGTGCATATTGGTAGTGTTTAATTTCCTCTTATTATTATCTTTGTGGGTTTTTCCCTATTTTTTTGCTCACCGTGTGTGTTCTTGGATGAATTTGCTTTTGGTGTATTCAACAGAAAATCAAAAATCTTCCGTAAGGATGCCTAAGTTTTAATTGATGAAAGGTTTTAAAGATATCTGATTTTTTTGGTCTGATGAAAAGTTTCTTTGGCGTAGAAAACGAGGAAAAAAAATTCGAGTTTCTTTTATACAAAATATATCATCTGAAGAAGGATTCAGGATTTTCGAAAAAAAAAAATTCAATGACTTTGCATTCTGATGAGGAAAAATTACTGAACGATTAGTATGTGATGACATATAACTGCTCATTCACTCTTGTGGATCAATTGTAAATTTTTCGGAAAAAGTATGGAGCTTCTTGATAGGCTACAAACGATGGTGATTAGCCGTGCTTCCTACTGAATGCAGACATGCTTCTTGGAGAAGTCGTCATCCATCTTAAATGTAGGAATCATAGATGCGTATTTGTATACTACAAACTAAATTTTGCACTGAAATCCAGTTGTGTCATTGGTTGTAATTTTAGTTGTTGCTTGTTTAAATGAAGTAGTGTGTTTTTTTTCCCAAAGCATGCATTTAACAGTGCATATTTAGATATGTTGCACTTGCCTTGGAATTGTGTGAGCTGCCATGAACATTCCTCATAACAAGTTGTAAATTGTGTTCTTTGCAGAGTCCTTGGAGGAGTCTGATGAGGTTATAGCAGAACATGGCAACAATGGGATTCATGATGTCAGGGATGATAGCAGCAGCGAATCCTCGAGTTCAGATGGAATTGAGCTCCTCTCTCAAACTCCAGCTGGTGCTTCCAGCATGAATTTCAAACCCAAGCCGATCGAAGAAAGGAAAGTTGTCACGTTAAGTGAAGAAAGTGAAGAATCTGATGGGCAGCATTTTGGCCACAGTGACAGTGAACCTGAAGTTCAGTTGATTGATAAAGCAATGAGTTCCAAGTCGATGTTGAGAAAAGGAAATGGAAAAGGATCATCTCATTCTAGTCAACAAGGTAGTGATCCTTTTCGCCGCAACTATTTTGATTCTTTCAAATTCAGAAATCAGCTGTAGCTTGCAGAAATTTCTATTGATCTTTACGAATTTGTGAACATGCATATTTGCTTTTCACACTGGTGATTATGTTCTCATCCTGATAATAGATCGCAGGTCTCCTACCAAGATTTCTCCTTTTCATAGTCCTTTAAGCATTTTTCTTGCTCTAAGGAGGCAAAATGAAGTAAACAGTGTAAATGTATAGAAAATCTGGCATGTGCTTCACCACTTTCTCTGCCATCAGCTAGCAACAGTAGAAATCATATTATAAGTAAATTTCAACCTACTTATTTGTGGAAAACCTTGGCATGAACATGTTTGCTTCTTGTGCATGCATCACGTAGCAGATTACCACTGTGGATAAAGAACAGGATGCTTCCAGCACACATTAGAAGAATGTGTTCTGAAATGAACTTTTAATGGACTTACATAACAATCCATTGCAGTTGCACATAGGTTTCTTAGTTTTACTTCGCATTTATAACATCATTGCTTTTCATGCTTCCAGTGATGTTCTTATCCTGTTGCAGCCTAACAAACCTCGATATCTTTGTAACAATTCGTAGACTGATTTTAATAGCCGCTCCCACGAAAGTCTAGAACTGTGCCAGGCATAGAATGTATCTCTGAATTGTATGTAGATACTACTATGAAGACCAATATGCTTTTGTTTGGACCATGTGCTTACTAGTTTTCTTTCTTCACTTTCATGCTTTCCTGAGTACTTGGCCCTACATATTGCATTGGTTTAGTCCTTAATATACTGCTGTAACCCTTTTGTATAATGAAGAGAAAACTTCTCATGTTCCTCCATGCCTAGAAAAACACCAAATCAAAATTTACTTAACTTCGATGGTACAACCTTCGCATTATTTGTCTCTCCGTGATGAATCTCATGTTATCAATTTGTTTTTTGCAGGCTTGGGCACCAAAAAGCTAGAAGAAAAGCAAGCATTTGAGGAAATTAAAGCATTTCTGGACAAAAGACCTGCATCTGCACAATCTAGCCGAAATTTAGTTGAGAGAGTGCGGAATTATCATGCAGGGGCTGAAGTGAATTATCACAGTTCATTTCAGAAGAACTCCAACTATGGAAGGAAGCCCAATGGAGCCACTGGTCTATCAAAGAACAACATTGCTACTAACAGGGAGGAAGAGACAAAGTATTTCAACAAGAGTAACAGGGAGGAAGAGCCAAAGTATATCAACAAGAGTAACAGGGAGGAAGAGCCCAAGTATTTCAACAGGATTAAAAAAGGGTCCAAATCTAAAAAAGAAGAGATTTTATCTTATCCTTCGAGTGATTCTTCCAGTTCCACTGATACAGATGATGACGACAGTGATGATGAAGAATATCAAGCCGGAGAGACCTATTCCTCTGCCAGTGAGGAGTTATTGAGCTCTTCGACTAATGAAGAAGATGAAAAAGGTGAAGATGAAGAAGAAGATGAAGAATATAGCACTACAAGGGAGGAAGAAAGTGAAGGAGAAAGAACAAAAGAGGAGGTCACGGAGAAATCTAGGACAAAAAAATCAAAGCCACCCCAATCTGAAGATGAAGAATCTTACAAGATTAAACCACATGGGAAGATAAGGGAAAGCAAATGCAGAAGAGGTGGTGATCAAGCTTGTTTTGAGAAAGCTGATAATGAAAGCATCAAGGGCACGGAAAATTTAGATGGAGAGAAAACTAATCAGCTGCACAAGAAAGTGAGGTTTAGTGAGCAAAAGAAAAAGGTTAAAAAAGTTGAGGCAAAGCCAAATAATCTCGTCGATGCTCTTTTTAAATCAATTGTAGGAAATGATGACGTTGTTGCTGAAGTTAAAATTCATGAACTAGAAGTTGAGCCATCTACTTCCAATCGCTGCATCCTGCCTAAGAAATTCAGTTTTGAGGATGAAGAGCCAAAACCAGTTGAAAAATCGGAAGATGAAAAGATGGTGGAGGGCTTGTTTGATGAGTTGGAATATGCATTCATGTCAGAAACTAATTCTCTTGAGGTTTGTTTCTTTGCATTCTAGGCTGGTTATATTGATCACCTTACGACAGTTCTGCTTTATTTGGGACCATGAAGTTGGTTTATGAATTCAATTTTTTTCTTCTTTGGGTAAATTATGAATTGATTTATATTGTTCAATTGTGTCGTTTTACCTCAGGAAGACAGCGTTGTGGAAAATGGATCAAATGCCGATGACGATGATCCTTGTTCCAGAGGGAGCCACGACTTACGCCTTGATGAAGAACTTGGGCTAGTCTGCTGTATTTGCAATCATATAGAGCTTGAAAGGAAATATGTTGATCCTAAATTCGTAAGTGGTTTCAGCTTTCTTCTTCCTTAATGCTCTCTCCTTGCTTTAATGATACACTCTTGAGTGCAACCTCATTTTATAACAAGTTTGTATCCACCATTTACTAACATGTCCACTGAGATTCAACTGTTCTCAGTTTTAAGTAGTGTAAGTTTCTTTAATTTGGCCAACTTAATTTCGTTTTGCATTGGGTAGGCACCCAATATTCGCAAAGATACACGACGAGGGGGCGATTACGAGAGACAATCATTCTTCAACGATCTTGACTTCACACCCGAGGGCAGCGACTTTGGAGATCCCCTCAGTGCTTGTAAGGGATCAGTTTGGGATACTATTCCTGGTGTGCAAACAAAACTGTATGAGCACCAACGAGAAGGTTTTGAGTTTTTGTGGAAGAACCTGGAGGGAACAATTGATCTTGCTGAAATAAGGAATTTTGATAAAAGTCAGACAGGTGGATGCATAATTTCACACGCTCCTGGAACAGGAAAAACACTTTTAACCATAGTTTTCATACACACCTACCTGAAATTATTTCCTAGTTCCAGGCCAGTCATAATAGCCCCAGCCAGCATGCTTCTTACCTGGGAAGAAGAGTTCAAGAAATGGAATCCTGATCTTCCATTCCATAACATTAACAATGGGGAGTTGTCAGGCAAGGAAAACAAGAAAGCTCTTGAGATTGTCCCAAAGGGCAAAACCCCAACTGAAGATTTACTTCGCCTAGTTAAAATTTACTCGTGGACCAAGGAGAAAAGCATTCTAGGCATAAGTTATAGCTTATTTGAGATGCTTGTTGGAGGAAGGACTGAGAAGAAGGACTTCAGAAAAATACTTGTGGAGATGCCAGGACTGGTGGTTATGGATGAAGGACACACTCCACGCAGCAGCAAAAGTTTACTTTGGATGGCTCTGTTAAAGCTCCAAACAAACAAGAGAATAATACTAACTGGAACTCCCTTTCAGAACAATTTTGGAGAGCTTTTCAACACTCTGCGTTTGGTAAGGCCATCCACTGCCGAACTTCTATCCAAAGACAAAACTTTTTCTGAGATGATCACTGCAAGGGGAAGGTATTCTCGTCAAAAGAATAAACATTTGGAAACTTGTTACTCCATTTCAAAGAACCAGGCTGTTGACAACGAAGGTATTGAGAAGCTAAAAGCTGCCATTGCCCCTTTTGTCCATGTTCACAAAGGTACCATTCTCCAAAGAAGTCTCCCTGGCCTGAAAGATAGTGTCATTCTTCTGAATCCCCAACCTATTCAGAAACGTTTCATAGGGGCAATTGACGCTTCTCGTGGTACTGCATCCTTTGAGTACGACCATAAAGTTGCTCTCATCTCTACCCATCCATCCCTGTTTAGGAAATGCAACCCCAATGCTAAGGAGAAGGCTGGTATTGATATGGAAGCGCTAGAGAAATTGAGGATGGACCCTTCCCAGGGTGTGAAGACAAAATTCGTTATGGAGATGGTTCGCCTCAGCTGTAAAGTGCATGAGAAAGTTCTGGTGTTCACCCAGTACAAAGATATCCTTCATCTTATGGCACAACAACTTGAGACTCGCTTCAAATGGGAGGAAGGCAGGCATGTTATCAAGATGTATGGTGATGTAGATCAAAAGACCAGGCAGAACATAATAACAAGCTTCAATGACCCTTATAGTGATGCTTTTGTCTTGCTTGCTTCAACCAAGTGTTGCTCCGAGGGTATAAACTTAGTTGGGGCGTCGAGAGTGGTCTTAATAGATGTAGTCTGGAATCCATCGGTGGAAAGGCAAGCTATTTGTCGTGCATACAGGCTTGGACAAAAGAAAGTTGTGCACACTTATCACTTGATGGCTGCAGGAACTACCGAGGAAAGCAAGTACTGTAGGCAAATTGAGAAAGATCGCCTGTCTGAGCTGGTTTTCACCTCGACCACCAAGGAGAACATAAAGGTCAAAAATCCAGCAGCTGCCGTTGATGATGCAATTCTCCAGCAGATGTTAGCTGATTATAATTTCAAGGATATGTTTGAGAAGATTATCTATCAGCCCAAGGAGGCCAATCTGATCGAGAGTTTTGGTTTGGAGGCTCTTATGTAACTCCATTTCAGGTAATGAGCTCTACATCCATGCTTCTATAAGTATATTTCAGTTCTGCTACATCGTTTGGACATTCTGCACAACACTTAATGCTGTACATTCACTGATGCATACAACATAGTCTAATGTATGGTAAACCTGTGTAGCTAATGGTAATTAAAAAAATTAGTTGGGGGAGGGGGAGAGGAGGGAGAGAGAGGGAGAGAGAGAGAGAGAAACTGTAGCTAATGATATGGATCGTCTAAAGTGATGAACTTCAAAAAGAATCATAAATGAATGGTAAATTACTCATTTTGCTTCAGGAAGGGGACTCTATGCATCCTGTTTTTTGTTTTGGTTTCTAGTATAGGTGAAATCTGTGAATGCTTTTAGTTTATTGCCACAATGGTAGCAAGTAAACCAGAGTTTCTAAATGTGGAACTGGTGTTCTAGTCTAGGGTCAACATATGCTCTTGGATTTCCTTGCAGGAGGAACAAAATAGATGAGGCTGAAGCATTTTGTGATACCAGCTGAGGAGACTAGAGAAGAATGGAGTTGTAGGAGCTGTCAAAGAAGATGATAGTACCTTTTGTTTTACAAGTATTAGTAAAGTGTTTTGCTCACAGACTAATTTGTATTGGATTGTTTGTCTGCATCACTCTCTTTCATTGAGATATTCTCAGATCTTAGGACATCAAATGTTTTGATTATGTTTGACGATTTTTGACATCCGGGGTTGCCATAGTGTTTTTTTTCCTTATTATTATTGTGTTTAAAGTCCAAGATGTTTGCAATAACAGCAGTAGTAGTTAGTATAGTTCTGAATAAGGTACAGGAATCATAATTTAGTCCAAGACACAGCATGATTTAATCCAATGTGAGGAACCAGCGTATGCTAGCTAATGAGATTAGTGAGACTTAGCAGTTTGTGAGGTAGTATTTGACCTATATTTGTGTTCCTTTCTTTCTACAAGGTAGAACTTTGGGTTGAAGCTACCTTATTAACAAGATTCAAAAACTCTCAATTGCTTGCTTCGGATGTCGGCCGTTTGGTTGCCAAGAATTGTATGCTCAATCATCATTTATATATTGAAGTTAATTTCTAGAAAATAATAGTAACAAAGTAGATGCCAGGCAACCCCCTCCCCAGGCATTCCCATCAGCCCTCAATAAAAACATGAACATATATTTATATATATAATATATATCTCTATCTGCAAACTCAAAGAAGGTAACCTAAACCTAAGACAAAGGCTTCTACTACCCAAACAATTGAGCATCACTGTCCACTAAATAAATTTATCTATTCTCCATGATTTGTTGGAACCTGGAGGCCTGAATGTTTCCAACTTTAAACTGGAGCCTGACCGAAACTCTTTCAATCCAGAATCCCCTCTTTCAGATGCAATTACCTCCAAGGTGGTTCCCAAAACTTCGGCTGCAAGTCCTATTTCTACAAGTCTCCCTCGCTCTTCTCCACCTTCGTGTATGATTCGTTCAATCTCACCAAGAGGTACAACACTCTCCAAGATCACTCCAGCAAAAATGCGCCCAAGAAATTCTGCCGCCTTTGGAGCATCGTTTACTGCGTCTTCCAATGTCATCAGTACAGAGTCAAACCTGACACCATTCAAGTTATAAATAAATATCAGTGACCACCTAAAGTTGAAATGAACAAACAAAACAAGAATGCTCATCCAAAAAGATGACTTGCATACCCTTTGATGAGTTGATCTTGACTTATTAGGCCTTCTCGATATTTTGTCAGTGTGATGAGAAGCTTCGTTAAGAGGTCCCTCTCCTTGTCCTTCCTCTCAAAAGAATCCGTGACCCAAAGAGAAATCATTGACGGGTAGAAACTAGGGTTATTCAAATCCTTTATACATAAAGCAACTTCATTTTCATCTTTTGCACTGCAAACAAGAGCATTCAATGAGCTTATATACAAAAGATAGCTAACTCCTAAATAGTTTATTTCAAAGCTACACTGTACAGCTTGTTAAATTTTAATTGCAATGAAGAATCATCTCAAGAAACTACAGAAAACAGTGATGTATCAACCTGACTAAAATCCACAGTGGGCCCCACACCCCCCCGGCACAACCTCTAATCCACACTTGCCATCCAATACTAACTTTGATATAATCATAAGCTAGATATGGAAGCACGTTAAACTAAAATCAAGGGAAATGGTAAGGGGACAAAGCGACTTTAAAATTCTAAGCCAACTGAATTGAAAATTACAAATAACTGCCACAATCAGCACACTACACAAAATTAACTTACCCTATTACTGAGGGAAGCATGATTTCTACGAACATAACAAAGTACACCTACTGGTAATACTTAATATACTACCGCATGTATAATCTTGTGCACCTTTAACCATAGGTAGTGAACACAAGAAAAAATAAAATTGATACCATTTTAAGAAAAGAATCAATTAAACCCATATAAACTCAGTAAACCTTAACTAGTAGCTACAGGTACACATAGAAGGAACCATTATTCATTTGAACAAAGACGGTACTCAAATGGGAAACATAAACAATAATATCACTTAACCGTGAAACTCAATAATACCTGTAGAACTCTTTAATTGTTGACATGGACATATCCCTCAACCGTTCCTCAGGCCACACCTTTTCAGAAACAGCGTTTTGAGTGAGTGCACCCATACTTTGTGCAGGAGGAGACAAGGGGAGAGATCTATCAAAACCCCGATCTGGATTCCTAGTATCTCTATTCCCATAAGGACTGCTCCACTCTTGTGCACTTGATTGTTCATAAGCAGATGGCCCGACAAACCTCTCTGGCATGTATCTTTGCACTGGATCCTCTCTTGAGGAATGAGCAGTTCGTTCGGAAACGGGATTGTAACCATTAAGCCCAGGTCCAAGTCTCCTAGTCTCTCCACTATCAGGCAACTGAATTCCTGGAGAAGCAGAATGCCCCCTAAATGACATCCCTCGTGCAAGACCCCCTTGGGGTCCCAAAAATGGGGCATCATCACCAAGCGGTCTCTGTGGTAAGGGAACAGACAAAGTTCTATTATCCATAGTATGTCTCTCCTCAATCCTGACATCTTGACCACCATAACCCCGGATCTGCGGTGGCACAGCCCGGTAACCGCCCATCTGGGAGCTTGGGGAAGCTAAAATATTTGACCCTCTGGGAGAAAAATCAGTAGGCTGGCTCCTTCTAACAGAGGGACCCATACTTGGAGTACGAGCCAGACCCCTGGTTTGTGCCTGCCGCTCTTGAGCAGCATCTCTGTGTACCTCTTCAATCTTTTTCGGTCCTTCAACTTTCCTCCTCTGCTGCCACTTGTTCTTTCTCAAATCAATGGCATCTTTCAGCATGAACCTGACCCGTGAAGACAATTTCATGTTATTTGATAGTTTCTCCATCATATCAAAGTAGACATCCATATGCTCTTTCGCTTTTGGATGATCAATCATTTCTCCAATAGTACTCATCAATTTGCACAAAGCTTCAACATCTTCCTCATCAGGATTCTGATACTGACCCAACAATTTCTTTATGCATTCATGCATAATTCTCTCCGTCAACATTCTTTTCTTGTATAATTCCCCGATAAGCCTAATATTACCCAACATTCTTCTCCGTGCCCGTAGTCTCATCTCCTCTCTTTCCTCCGCAGACTGCTTGGCTTCACCTTTCACATCAACTTGGTTAGCTTCCTCCTGCTCTCTTTCTCCCCTTTCAAATTCTTCTTGACATTTGTTCAAGAGTAATCTCTTAAACGTAATTTTTTCATTATCCACACTTAAATCAGGTAACCCCACAGCAAGGTGAGAACAGAAGTTGGCATACATCTCACAAAACGTCGGCTCCATCAAAGCCTTGTCAAATATTTGAGAAATCACACCAGTTAAGGTGATGGCGTTGTCAATATTTACTTGTTTAACTTGCTCGAACAATTTTTCAAAGTTCTGAGGAGTAAGCTTGTTCAAAATTCCTTTCAATTGCCTTTGTTTGGCTTGTTCCTCGTCTGTTACTTTACCAATTTCATATTTCCTCTCTGCTTTGTGCATTACCTGTAGTGGAGTAGGAATCAAACCCTTCTGAAAATGTGATGCACGTGGCCACCTATCAGCGTCAGGTGGGTTCCTTGGTAAACCAACCTGCGGCACCATAGCTGGGTTTTGCCCAGGAAGGACCCCTGGATACACAAGAGGTCGTGGGTACCTCAACACAGGCATTGGACTAGGCCGATACGTAACCACATTAGGCCCATCACGCCCAGGCATAAGAGGCTTGTTCCATTTATCCTCTTCACCTATGTTACTTGGACGGCGATCTACACGCCTGTCGATTATTCTTCCAGGAGTATAAGGGTCACGAGGAGTGCCAATATTAGAAACAACAAATGCTTCGGCTGTCTCAGGTATTACTTGAAAACCCTCAGGCAGTTCAGTAAATTGCTCTGCAAATTTTAATAAGAAATCCCTAGAATACTTTTTGGTCATGACTTCACTATTCAATTCAGCACTTTTACCCTCCCGTTCTTCATTTTCAGGAGTCTCCAATTTTGGAGTAGATATGTCAGCAGCATCTTCCCAGTCATCAGGCTCTAATTTACCCTGGACTGCTTTATCCTTGGTGATCTCTGTACGAGAGACTTCAGAAGATAGATGCTCCAAATTATTGCTGGAGGTGCTCTCCACTGTTTCTGCAGTGAGAGCACCTTCTTTCTTCTCCTCTGGTCCCTTATATGCCATGTATAGATCAGAAGTTGGTCCACTACTATCTAGTTTCTTAAGCAACTCTTTTCTCTTCTTCTTGCTTCTAGGTGCATTACCTTTTGTGACATTCTGCTCCAGTTTATCTTTAGTGACAGCCACAGCAGCAGCAAGGGTTTTATTATCCTCGTCAATACTATGGTCATGTTCCACATTTTCATCAGAAGATGGAGCTAAAGCAGACATGGACTCCTCAATCGAGGTAGAAGAACTTCTAATAACATTATCCTCAATATCTGTGCTCTCAAATCCACCTAAAGAAGATGCTTTACCCTCATTCGGAGGGCACGCTTCAGCATTTCCAATACCTGGAGGGGAAGATCCTTCACCATTCTCCGCGGACAAGGTAGTAGAATCTGAAGCGCTAGACATCAAAGCTTCTTCAACAATCTTGGACTGTTCAGAGAAAGTTGCTTGCCCTTGGTTTTTGCCAGAGATCTCAGTCTTCACTCGATTTTCTTCAATAGTTTGAGCATCCAATCTATCTGAAGGCTCTGACATGATCTCTTGCTCAGCATAAACCTGTTTCAAATCAAGCGCACCAGGTTCAGCTACAATACCTACAGAGCCCGTCTCTCTGGGATTTTTTATGACCACACTAGTTGAAGAAGAAACAGAAGTTTCTCCATCTGGTTTCTGAGAAGGCAAAACTGAAACAGCAGTAGACTGTTCACCAACCTGCACAGAAGTAAAGTAAAAAGGGGGACCAACTATCACTAATAGTTCCCTAATGGCCAGAAGCTAACCAAGAAACATGACCCGACGATTATCACATATATCCTCCACTGCGTACCTTGTCTTGTTGGTCTTGCGAGGAGTCGAGCCTACCAGCAATGGAAGATGCACCCAAGGGTGTCTCGACAGGACTTGGTGAACCAGGAGCAATTGAATTCAGCATCAGGCTCTGCCCAGATTCAGAACCTGGTTGTGTCACAGACTTAGTAGCCTCAGCCACGGTTACAGATGTAGGGCCAACAACAGACTTTGGCTGTTGCAAAGAACTCTGCAATGAAGTCTCAGCATCCATTTGAGATGCCTTTAAAGATTTCTGTGGATCTCCTTTCGGAGCACGAGGTGAATTCACTGAAGATATTGCATCCTTCTCTCCGTGAGAACTAGCGGCGGGTTTCAATGTCACCTGCAGCACAATTAGACTATTAAGTGAGATTAAATTGTAACATAGATGTATACTCCACAAGGAAAGCCGTAAAACCTACTCAAAACCTGGTATCTTAAATAGGAAGGGGCAAAAGTAAATTCAATCACCTGACCATAGTATCTAGGGGGCTGTGATGGAGGGAGAGTACTACTACTCAAAGGATGCGAACTTGGAGCTGGGAAGTATACAGGATTAGCATTATAACCAGGATAAAAGGTAGAGGGATGAGCAGGCGGAAATGAGGAAATGGGTTGCGATTGAGGAGCCAGACTAGAATGTGGTCTTGAAGCAGAACCATCAAGCCTCAGCTCTTCATGTGTGTCCGGATGAGTAATCTTCACAGCTTTACGAGGACCACCAAACTTTCCAGCCTGTTGCTGAGGAAACTGTGGAGTCATATGATGGGGACCCACCTGTGCAGGGACCTGAGGACCCATCTGAGATGAAAACTGACTCTGATGCAGGATGCTCTGTGGCTGCATATGATGAGGTTGGAGACCTGGAACGAAAACCTGTGGCTGCACTGACGGATTGCCAATTTGCAAGGGCATATGAATTGCCATCGGCACTGGCAATGAGGTGGCTGACATCGCCTGAGACTGAATCTGTGGATTTGGGGTCCCAAATTGAACAGGCAACTGATGCTGATGAAAGGGCACTTGAATTGGCACTCCAGGAATAGGAAGCACAGATGGCTTCTGTGGTTGAGACACAGGGGGAGCCGCTGAAGTTTGTACTTCCCTTTTAGGCTTGGCAGGAGGATATCCCTCAATGGCAGTAGGTTGATCAACTGGACCTGCGTCTTTCTTCGGCAACTGTTGCCTTGGTATAGCAGGAGGAGGAACTCTTACCGAGTCACGACGAGCCTGGAGAACAAAAGCCAAAAATAAGTGGAAGTGATTACAATAATTATTGTTGTCCCACCTTAAATTGTCCCACCTTAAAAATAATTGGAAATCAAAAAGTGATGTTAAAACCTCCAGAAATCCCAAAGCACCCTAAGGAATGGTAAAACTTACACAAACCTAGGCGTGCACATTTTACTTAAGGTTAACTTTACTTACGCTATATAGTCTGATTAAACACACCAAATTTGCTAACCAGTCCATACTTAAAGCAGCAGGCTGAAAACGATGCAAACTGACTACGGCTTTTCTTTTCGAAAAAAATAAAAAATCTGAACAAACGTATATACAATCACAAGCAAATAATAAGAAATAGGAAGCGCCTCTTTGTTCCATCAAAGCATAACCATAAATTTATTTTTGTGTTTAAAAATCATAGCACATACACAAACCTGGTCACGTTTCTGCTCATCCAAATTTGGCGGGGCTGAACTTGTTCGAGCAGGTATCTACAAAATAACCAAAACAAATGCCAGCATTTTTCCCTCATTATAAGTTATCACACCCCAAAAGAAAACAGGAATAAAAGCAAAAAAACAATAGAAACAAAGGAAAAAAGTAGCAACACAAACGGAGGATATTCCCTTCAGGACTGTAATATTTACCTGCATTCCATTCATGAACCCCGGGCTGATAGACCCAAATTGAAGAGTGTATGACGGAGGTACCTCAGCTGAAATAGACACCAGAAACGTGATCAAATAATCACACTGGAAGAAATAAAATGAATAAGTCAAAAAGACCATGAACCCTAATCAACCAAACACAACAATCCAAAGCAATATCAAAGAATCAAAATGCCAGACCTTTAGATGGAGTTACAGGAGTTGGTGTATTCTTGGAGTCACCACTTGCAGAAGGAACATTAGAAGATGGTGCTCTTGGAGCTCGGGAGGCTTTTGGAGTAACCACGTCAGCGGGTTTGACAGCCGCAACTGTGGATGGTGTATTTTGTGCTCCTATCATAGAAGAAACCAAAATTTGAGGTAATTGGAAAAAAAAAAGAAAAAAACTAATGATCGAAAAAAGGGACAAAAAATATTCTACTCCACAAATGAATGTCCATTAAGTAGAAAGCATCATAAAGGAAACATCTTTACAATAATTCTGTCATTCTAAAAACCTACCACCACTCAAAACTAACAAGCAACCAAAATTTAACCACATTCCTATGGCATCATAAGCCACTTACCATGAGAGTGCTGTTGTGATGGATGAGACCCATTCTGTACAGCACGAGGAGCTGGAGCAGTAGAATCAGGATTCACGGCGGGAGCACCTGTCCGGGGTTGCCCTCCTTGCACATTATGGTGTTTCTTAAAGCTACCAACATAAGAAGAGAAACATAATAACTAAACCTTTCAATGAAGAGCTAAGGTGGAAATAATTTCCACAAACCCTAAATAAAAATTAAAAAAAAAAAACAAGAAACCTATCGAAACCCTAAATTTTTTTACCTTCGGTTGGAGGAAAGAGTGGGTTGGTTGTTATTAGTGTTGATGTTGGTGTTGGAAGGAGGGGCGGTGGCGCCGCCGCCGGTTCCGGTATTTCCTTTATGGCCTCCGCCTGAGAAGTTACGATGGTGATTCGATCGCCCGGATTTTCTGTATTGCGCAGACTCGGTCCTTTCACCCCTTGATTGATTATGGGACATAAATTCGAGCCCTCAAAAAAAACCGATTCTTCAAAATTTGTCCTGCCAGATCCCACCAACACCGATCAAATCAAAACCCGAAAAAATCAAAAGCCACACCAATTTTTACAATCACTGGCCAAAAAACCGCAAATAATAAAAAGCATAAAATTTGTAACCCTTACGCTTTACCTGGAGTGAAGTGTACGCTAAAAAAAAAAAGATTACGGGATGGAGGAAAATCCAATTAGGGTTTTTATTGTGTGCGGTCGATGGCGGGAACCATGACGACACTGAGAATGATAGAGAGAGAAAGAGAAAGGGAGGAAGAGAGAGAGAGAGAGAGAAGAAGAAGAAGAGAAAAGAGGTGAATTGGCTTTCAGTGTGTGAGTGCGTGCTCTTGTTATGTAAATTCTTGTTTCTGGTTTGTTGGAGAGAAAGATAGTAAAGGTGAATATTAGAAAAGGGTAGCGATATATATATAATGGTTATTAAAATTTTTATCATAATGTATATATTCTGTCTCCTTTTTTTGGGTTTTTTTTTTTTGGTTGAATTATTTTGTGTATCCTTTGATTCCTTTCAGTCATGGACCATGGTAATAGTATATGATTTATTTATTTATTTTGAATGCTTTTCTAGGAGGAGAAGATGTGAAAAAGCAATTTTGTGTAAGTGGTCATATGTGCTAAAAACACAAAATTAGTTTTCTTAAAAATTTGATGCGCATTAACTAATTAACACAAAATATTTTTTTGGCAATAATTTACAATTTTGCGACATTAATTATTTTTTTGGCAATAATTTACAATTTTGCGACATTAATTATTTGGCCAGTTGAGAATATGAGGGTGGATTGGAGAATATTTTCCTTTACACGCGCCGCCTTGAGAGCTAGGAGCGCCACCAGCAGCTCAGATGGAGCATGGAGGGATATATGTGATCTTCGGATTTTGTTTTTTTTTTCCAACATTTACAAATGTATCGATTTAATTTTGATGTATATGTGTATAAATAATCATACTTTCTTCGTCCCATTATTAGTTAAACAAAAAGTGAGGGCTCGAGTTTAATTTTCTACTATATGGTTGTAGTATTATTTTTCAGCTGTAAAATATTTTTAAAAATTATGGATTTTTTTTCTAATCCCGCACAAAAGACGGAGAGTGCCAATGGTGAATTGGTAACCTATTGACTGAGTATTTTTGTTCTTGTGATGATGGTTCGTGTTGAGATAATAAGATGATCAATTACACTGCAAATTTTGTAATTGGTGAGGTTCAAATGCTTTATCCTTTGCAATGTTGTAATCCTTGCATAATTAAGAAATAATAAGTATTTAATCCTTGCTCCGGAAAAAGAGAGAGAGAGAGAGAGAGAGAGAGAGAGAGAGAGAAGAAGAAGAAGAAGAAACAAGTACGAAGCTGATTTTTCATTTTATTTTTCTGGTATCACTTAATCCATTATTTTTAAGAGGTTTATTATTTTCTTATGATCAACCAAGTTGACATGAAGAAACTATTAGTCAAATAATCTTTAGTGGAGTATCTACCAACCTTAAAATGTTTCAAATTTTAATTTAGAATTTAGAGTTACATCAATTCTAGAAGAATTGTCCACAAATTTTAAGGAGTAGAGTATTAAACAGACAGTTGGAATATGTTATGTTTCAACTTTCAAGTATAAATGGAATTCATAATTTTCAAAAATAAAAAATTGAACTTGCAAATTACAATGTTTTCGCTATTATAATATCATAATAAAATGCATTGTAATAGTATAGATATTTTTTCTTAATATACGGGTACCTTTTTTTTATAAAAAAAAAAAAAAACATAACAGGTACTACTACATGTAGTCGGGGAGGAAGACGAATAAAAAATAAAGAGGGAAAAAAAAATCTCCATTCTTGTCAATCGATTGCTTAACATAGAAAAGTAAACATTCATGCATACTATAATACTATTTAACTTTTTATCATATCTTCGAGAACATATCAAGCAACTCTCTAAATTAGTACTCCCTCCGTCCCATAATTATTGTCCAGTTTGATTTTCGTTTCTAGTTCAAATTGTACTAAAAGTGAAATCTCAAACTGGACAATAATTTTGGAACAGAGGGAATAGTACTTGTCAATTACAGTAATCTCTCTAAACTATATCAACAACGATTAATCATCAGATAATGTTAATTAATCGCCACGCTAAGAATTCAGCTGCGGAAACCAGAAGCATGTTACTCATCATCTTTGTATGGATATTCCTCGGGAACTTGCTTCAGGAGTTTCACCTGCATTTCAAATGCATCATCCCCTCGTAGCATATCTCGGATCCATGTGACTTCAGTCTTCATAGATACCTGAATGTTGGAAAGGGGGAAAGAGAAAAGAACAAGACAAAAAGTAGATGTTGTCAGGTAAAGGATTAACGAATTAATCCATCATTCTCAGATTTCATATTTTTCTTTCAGATGACATCCTTCTTGCACGTCTGTAGAACGACATCACTTGCACTAACTGAAAACAGCTTACATTTTTTTATTTATGGATGACATACAGATCATACAGATCATAGCTCCTAAGGAACATAATCCATCTTAAAGGGCTCATGTGATCAGAAAATTGCACAAATGTCCAGCACAAGATTTGATGGGTTAAACATGTGGATCGTGCCAACAGGAGAAAACTTTAAGAGTTTTATCATCATAGCAGTACCAAACTATAATACTCACTCCATTCATGTACAGTTGATGATGTATAGAGTGAGTGTCCACACATGTCACTCAGTACACTAGGAATCTATGAGAAGATGCAATACCTAATCACGATGCAAAAGGAGTTCAAAAGTATTCAGGAAACTAGAGGAGATCGAGACTGAAGTGAGATTAGGAGAGAGGTTATTGAAAGCTTAAAAGGGTAAAGAAGTGTCAGAGGAGCATAACTTCATGTAAAGTACTGCTTTTAACAAACTTAATAAAGCTATCCCCTTTTGTCTGAATTGAGTCCTATTTGAAAGCTTTATGGATTTAGATAAATAAATCAGAAAAGACCATTGCAAACTCTAGTATATGTTTGGTTAGTGCACTGTAAATAGTAAACCGAAACAATTATATCTATTTAGGACTACATTTCGATACTAATCCAAATAAGGTTGCCATGCGAAGCTAGGAAACGTCAAGAGTGTAAATCTAACTAACCATCTCCAAAGCTCCTCTGATGACTCCACTCAAGATGTTGCAGTAAAACAAGCCTTGACAGGTGTCCGGAAGTTCAACAAAATCTACCATAGGATTGTCCTCCAAGACCAGACTGCATGTGGTACCTTCCGAGTCCCAATTAGTGACAGTAGCAGTAACCCCGAGAAACATTTTGAAAGCAACCTGTAAAAGATAAATGCCACAAACACCATCAATCCTTTCACATTTTAAACCGTTAACTAGACTTCAAAGCTAAACGAGTTCCTGGTAACTTCAGAGCTTTAAGATCTATGGCACAATCATAAGAGATTAAGCTCGGAAGCAAATCTGCTGAGACATGTAAGCAACAAACTACCTAAATTTGTAAAGCAGTACAAGCAAAGAAGCTAGAAAGAGAGAAGCCTCTGTAGAGTCTAAAAATGCTACCGACTGAGCGCATGCCATTCACAAACAGTTTAATGCCTTTAGCTTATTCAAAAATTGAAATGCGAACCCTCGGGAAATTAAAAAACAAGATTTCAGAACTAAAATACAGTTAATTGACAATGAAACAGAAAGCAGAAGAAAGGAAGCAACATTTAAACAGACCTTGGCAATGACATCAGCAGTTTCCTTGAAATTGACGCATCCAGACACATTGGATTTTGCAAGGAACTCATCAATCAGCCGAATACCGATATTATATCCCCTACAGTAAGTGAAATTAACGAAAGACTTGCTAAGTTTAATACTAATATTTTCATACGTTAAAAACAAATCCTTCAAACGAAGAAAGATTGCACATCAACAACAAAATTATAAATCAAATCTTTTTGTTTGAATGGAAATTTTACATCTGATCAAGCTGTTTGTTGACTTCCTCAACCTCCTCAAGATCCGTGAGCAATTGACGAACGATGGCGCCATAGGTTAAAGTGAAAAGCTCCGCATTCTGCCATAAACACTCCAATTACAAATTTTTGTCTTCAGAAAAAGGTATGATCAAATTACGATAAATTGCTACAAACATGTGCAAAATCTATGTTTGCAGAATCAAACCTGAAAACTAAATTATATTCGGAATTGTGTGAATATAAAACGTACCACTCGTTCTACGCTGGCGAAAATGGCGTCGCCGGATCTTGGAGCGACGGGAGGCATCAGAGCCGTTGGACTCTATTCAATTGATGCTGCGAAATTTCTTTTGGGATTAGCTTCCCGGCAACTACAGAGTTTCACCGTGGAAATGCGAACAGCGAAGTACCTGAGAAGAGGGAAAGGACTCAAAGGAGAGATATGGGTTTATGTTCTTCTGATTAATTTGTTGGGCTGTAAAAATAAAAATTACCGAGGCCGGGCCCGTTTCAGTGTAAAAATGTGATTTAAGCATCCTTTTGTATACTCGCACGCTCCTTCTATTATAGGAAAAAATTAGTTTCTACCCAAAATTTTGCGCTCATCGTCAATTACACCTAATAAATTTTCGGTTAGCCAACTTTACCTTAATATTTGAAATTTTCGTCAATTTCGTCCAATCGGGCCATTTTCCGTCTAAATTAACGGATCTCCGTTAGCTTTTTAATAAAATAATAAATTTAATTATAAAAACACCCCAGTAGTTTTTAAAAATTATAAAAATAATCCCTTTTCGCTTTTTTATTTCATTTTTCTCTTTTGTTTTTATTTCTCTCAACTACTTTTAATGACCATAAAAGTATATTATACGAGTTTTAAAAAAAATATTTATTTATTTTTAAACTCTACTGTAAAAATTAATCTTTGTATAGTTGTAGCCCATGATTGTGTTTATATAAGCATGTTAATTTTTTTAATAATATAAAATTTAGCAATAAAGACAGTATTTTGGTGATATATTTTATTCTTCCTAATATAAAGATTAAAAACATTTAAATGAAACTAACATTCTATATAATAATAAAATATTAGCTCAAATAAAAAAAATATTAATATATTTTAGTGTATTACAATTTAACTCAAAAGACTATAACTTGCATTAATATAATTCATAAAAAGATAACTAAAATATAAAATAATTAAAACCTTAAAAAAATCCTCCAAACATAAGTTTTCCTTCTTGAATCTAAAACCTAATTTCTATCACAACAACTTATTACTATATTGTTACCTCTATTCATTTATTTTAAACTAAAATCATATAGAATAAACTAGTAAGACTTCCTATATAGTAAAATATATTAATATCTCAAATAATATTACAAAATGTTAAATCCTCCCATTGATAAGTATAAGCATTTTTTTATAAATTATATTATGCCATGTAGTCTCTCTAGTTAAATTGTAATACACCAAACTATACTAAAATATTATTTTTTATTTGAGCTAATATTTTATTTTTATGTAGAATATTAGTTTCATTTAAATGTTTTTAATCTTTATGTTGGGAAGAATAAAATAAATCAAAAAAATATTGTTTTTATTGCTAAACTATATTATTAAAAAGATTACATGCTTATATAAATACAATCATGTGTTACAACTATACAAAGATTAATTTTTACGGTAGAGTTTGAAAATAAATAAATATTTTTTAAAAAATCATATAATATACTTTTATGGTCATTAAAAGTAGTTGAGAGAAATGGAACAAAATAGAGAAAAATAAAATAAAAAAGTGAAAGGGATTATTTTGTTATTTTTATATATTTTAGGGGTTATTTTTGAAATTTTTAAAAACTACTAGGGTGTTTTTGTATTTAAATTTATTATTTTATTAAAAAACTAACGGAGATCCGTTAATTTGGACGGAAAATGGACCGATTGGACGAAATTGGCGAAAATTTCAAACATTAGGATAAAGTTGGCGAACCGAAAATCTATTGGGTATGATTGACGACGAGGGCAAAGTTTTGGGTAAAAACGACATTTTTTCCTTCTATTATAATAAAGCATTTTCATGGTTTCATTTTTAATGGATGAAACACCATAAATAAAATTTACAAAAAATCAAAATGTCTTCTGTATTTACCAAAGTGATTATTACTTCCGAATCTCTTATGATATTTACCAGAGGGATTATTACATTAATTTTCTGATGGTACTATAATTCGAAGGAGAGATATTGGTTTATGGGTTTATGTTCTTCTGATTAATTTGTTGGGTTGTAAATTACCAAGCCTGGCCCGTTTCGGTGTATAATAATGTGATTTTAGCTAATTTTTTTTAAAAAAAATTTTTAAATTTTTTTACAATGAAAGAGGCACAAAGCCTAAGATCGACTTCTTACGTTGCGAGAATATGTCATCCCGATTGTATCGTATTCTAGCCACGCCTTCGTCCCAAATGGAGGGCTATCAAACCATTATAAATTACCCGGGCTTCGTGCCGCTAATGAGGCCATATAGTTTGCTACAAAATTAGTTTTCACGAAACACATGATTAATCTCAACTTTCCAATTGCGCTTCAAAGTTTACGAATCCCCCTACTATTCAGCGTTGAGCCTACCACGTCTTTACCACTAAGGACCCTTGCAATAATGCTCGAATTATCAACTTCAACAATAACCTTACTCTATCCCAACTCCCAAACAAGCATTAAACTTTGAAATAAACTTCACAATCTTGCTCCCGTAATAATACAAAACCTGGTGTTCATAATAAAACCACCTAACCACTTACCATAATAATCCCTGGCCACACCACCCGCGCTTGCCATCCCGGATTCCCTGTTGAAACTACCATCGGTATTTATTTTCAACCATTCCAGTGAAGGAGGAAACCATTGTATCATTCTAGGAAAAAATATTGTTCCTACCCAAAACTTTGCCCTCGTCGTCAATCATACCCAATAGATTTTCGGTTAGCCAACTTTACCCTAATATTTGAAATTTTTGCCAATTTCGTCCAATCAATCCATTTTCCGTCCAAATTACGGATCTCTGTTAGTTTTATAATAAAATAACAAATTTAAATACAAAAACACCCCAGTAGTTTTTAAAAATTTTAAAAATAACCCCTAAAATATATAAAAATAACAAAATAGTCCCTTTTCACTTTTTTATTTCATTTTTCTCTATTTTGTTCCATTTCTCTCAATTACTTTTAATGACCATAAAAATATAATATATGAGTTTTAAAAGATATTTATTTATTTTCAAACTCTACAGTAAAAATTAATCTTTGTATAGTTGTAAGACATAATGGTAATTATATAAGCATGTTAATCTTTTTAATAATTTAACTAGAGAGACTACATGGCATAATATAATTTATAAAAGAAATATTTATACTTATCAATGTGAGGATTTAACATTTTGTAATAATTATTTGAGATATTAATATATCTTACTATAGAGGAAGTCTTACTAGGTTATTCTATTATGATTTTAGTTTAAAATAAATGAATGGAGGTAACAATATAATAATAAGTTGTTGTGACAGAAAATAGGTTGTAGATTCAAGAAGGAAAACTTATGTTTGGAGGATTTTTTTTAAGGTTTTAGTTATTTTATATTTTAGTTTTTTTTTTATGAATTATATTAATGCAAGTTATAGTCTCTTGAGTTAAATTGTAATACACTAAAATATATTAATTTTTTTTATTTGAGCTAATATTTTATTTTTATGTGGAATATTAATTACATTTAAATGTTTTTAATCTTTATGTTTGGAAGAATAAAATAAACCAGAAAAATAGTGTCTTAATTATTTTATACTTTAGTTATTTTTTTTTATGAATTATATTAATGCAAGTTATAGTCTCTTGAGTGAAATTGTAATACACTTAAATATATTAATATTTTTTTATTTGAGCTAATATTTTATTTTTATGTGGAATATTAGTTTTATTTAAATATTTTTAATCTTTATGTTAGAAAGAGTAAAATAAATCAGAAAAATAGTGTCTGTATTGCTAAAATATATTATTAAAAAAATAAACATACTTATATAAATATAATCCTGGGTTATAACTATACAAAGATTAATTTTTACAGTAGAGTTTAAAAATAAATAAATATTTTTTTAAAACTCATATAATAGACTTTTATGGTCATTAAAAGTAGTAAATAGAAATAGAACAAGATAGAGAAAAATAAAAAAAAAAAGTAAAAATGGACTGTTTTGTTATTTTTATAAATTTTAGGGGTTATTTTTAAAATTTTTAAAAATTACTGGGGTATTTTTGTAATTAAATTTATTATTTTATTAAAAAACTAACGGACATCCGTTAATTTAGACGGAAAATGGGCCGATTAGACAAAATCGGTAAAAGTTGAAACATTAGGATAAAGTTGGCTAACCGAAAATCTATTAAGTATAATTGATAACGAGGGCAAAGTTTTAGGTTGGAACGATATTTTTTCCTATCATTCTAGCTTCCATCCCAGCCGACTGCCTCCAACCTTTCCCACCTTCTCAACGGCCTTCTGGCATTCTCTACATAGTCATTAATCTCCTTAACCCTCACCGCAGCACCACCATCCGTTCCCCTGAAAATTCGTGCATTTCGCCACGTCCAAACCCTCCACGCCGTGACTCCAAAGTAGCAGCTCCAGTGTAGCTCATTGCCAAGCCCATTATGGTTCAGATTTAAGCATCCTTTTGTAATACTCGCACGCTCCGATTATTATGAAGCATTTTCATGATTTCATTTTCAATTGAGAAAACACTATAAATAAAATTTACGAAAAATGAAAATGTCTTATGTATTTACCAGTGGGATTATTACTGTGTGATTCGTTATACACTTATTAATTTTTTGATGCCACTATAAGCCGTTCACAAATCACACAGTCTTATGTATTTACCAATGGATGGAAAAATAGTTGCATAGATGGGAAGCGTACGCGCATAGTCTTCCTGCATAGTTATCCGTTCACAAATCACATCGGTCTAGATAGTCGAGGCGTTTCAGAAAATGCACAAGTAGTTCAGAACTGCGCTAACATACGTTTTCAACAAAAAAGAAAACAGTGCTAACATACAAAAATAATAATGTAATTAACAGTTAAAAAATTGCAAAGGATAGCTTGTGATTGTACTTGTTCATCTTATTGATCATCACAAAATTTCAGAAAAGGATTCACAAACTCAAATTAAAAGATGTTAAACTACAAAACGCAGTTACAGCCCCTCTGCAACCAAGAAGAATGTAATCACCTCGTAGCAATATTTACAGTGTTTAAAAATAATGCACAAGCAGTCCTTGTTAATGAATCAGTATATTCCAAATTCCAAGTACGCAACCGAATGATTTTGGGATGGTGGAACTCCGTGGGAAGCTCCCTTCTCCCCGCCGCAAACCCCCCCCCCCACGACCACCCACCACAGATCCGCCCGTGGAAAAGCATCTCCCCCACTTCCGATAATTTACAAGTAGAAAGGCTTTGCGTAAACATCAAACATTTCGCAGGCCGTTAATTGTGGCTCCTGTTACCAAACATAGTGAGTCAGAATTCAGAAACCAAGATAGATGAATACTGATCGTAGGGACTTGATAGAGTTATCAGATGATATAGTCATCAGCAATTGAAGGCAAAGAATACCTGCTGAAACCCGCCACTGAGACTGCCACCAGTTAGAAGCATTGTGAGGACTGATGAGACAACACCACCACCAAGGTTACTTCCTGAATTTCCGGCCTCTCTGATGGCAGTTCGCATTGCATTTAACATGCTTCCATATGTAGCAGCATGTCCCCGCTCGATAGCTTGAATGAAACAGAATGTCATGGCCCCTGTAGATGTGATCCTCGAGAGAGCCTAATCACAGAAAAGAAATATTTATGAGATGATTCAAGAAAAGAGAAAACTTTTCAGAGTTTCTATCATAGTTTCCTCAAATCATAACTTACGGATGTGTCAGCAGAAGTTTGATCGTCATCACAACCGCTAAAGGAAATGACTTCACCACCACTTGATCCTTTCCATAAACCTGACCTAGGACGATGGTCCTCCCAGCCATACTGCCCACTCCTAATCCAGCATAAGAAAGAAATATTAGCAAACGTGCACAAGAGAAATATTAGCCAATGATGATCCTTTCACAGGAAGGGAGAAAGTAAAAAAGACCTGAACTTTCTGATTTTCCTTTCATTAGAGTGAACTGCAACATGATCATTATACTGAACAAAAGTGCCACTCCAGGTAACTCAACAAAATTCATTCCAGTTCAGGCAACTCAACTAGCAAAAACAAAGTAAGTTCTTTAACTTTCTCCATTAAATAATCTAACGAAAAAAGTGCTTGCATAGAGTTTTCAACTCATTAGAATGGAAAAATTGACGGAGTAACTTCTTTTGGCACTTTTTTGTTAGTTGGATTGAAATTAAGTTTGTTGAATTACCCAGAGAGGCAGTTTCACATAGTCTAGGAAACACTGTTGCCGTGCACCCTATTTATTATTTTCAACGATTATACACATTTCCAGTTACATAACCAATGCAAGATCCTATCCAACAAACATGTGTTGTGGGTAGCTAAGTTCTGAGTTCAGCAACAGAAAAGCTACAGTTTAGCATTTCAAACAGAGATTAAGTTCACTTACAATATAGGCCTCGTTTTCTCAATCACCATTGTCGATATCTTACACATAATAGTGAAAGAGAAGCCTTATGTTCTAGACTCCTAGTGATAAATTTGACTCATCTCAAAGCACATTAACAGCAATCTACATTAGCCTAACCCCCATGTACCTCCTAATGAGAAAGTATAAACTCAAAAAAAAAAGAGAAAGAGTTTGGAAAACACTGAAGCGAGATAGCCTACACTTTCGGCCAAGCCTTTCTCCCTTAATACAACCTACCAAATTATGACAGTGTATTACTGACCTGTTCATTCTGCAAAGGAATGGCAAGTCTAGAACAGTTCCACTGTGGCAAGCATCAATTATGGCGTGAAGCCTGGCACCGTGGGGCAGGGGTCTAACAATGGTTGCATTAATTTCATCATCAACAATCATACCCTGTGTCTCAAAGTCCAGGGGACATAAAGTTTCATCATATCCATCAACTTCATCACCATTCGTGTTCCTTTGTCTGGAGCCATGCCCAGAGTAATGAAATACCAAGGAGTCTCCAGGTTGACATCCTTGAACAAGCCAATATAGTGCCATCCGCATGTTGGCTTTAGTAGGTATTCTGTAGGGGTCAGTTTCCTCTTCTGCACACCGTTTCATCATAATTAAGAGATTTCTTGTTAGTACAGACTAATCACACATTTCATACCCACGCTCAATATCCTTAAGCCTAAAACAAGTAATTTTAGCAGGGGAAAAGGAGTCAAGAGGTTGGAAATAACAACAAAAAACCAATGCATTTAACTTCCCTTCAGCTTACTAGTTCACAAACATATTTTGCAAGGTTATAAAACAAGCATTCCCATCACAGAAAGTGTAATTGCTTCAACTGAACTCTGATATGGAGTTACGGAATTGAATCTATAACCAAACATTCTAATCACAGATAAATCCCCTTCTTTTGCCTTGTTATCACATAATGTTACCAATAAGAGCTGGCACTTACACAGTTGCTTCGGCAGCCTTCTGTAACCGAAGTCCGAAGCCAATGGTCACAAGAACATTATCCATCAGAAGACAGCAAGGAAATGTGTAAGACCTAAGAACAGCTACCTATCATGGCACTGTAGCAAAAAAAGACCATTGAGGGTGTATGTCAAAACCTAGACCCACCCAATCTGGGGATTTTAACTAAAATCTAAACTTCATTGCTGGTAGATGAAGTCCTCTTATTACGCTATTTCACAAAGTTATGAGCATATATATCTCCAATTTAACTTTCATTTAGAGGATGTAAATCAAGAATAAAAATCTTCTTTTCTAACTGAATAGAACAACAAAATGGTGCCATCACCTTCTACGCTTCATAGTTCATGAAGAAAACAAACAGTTAAACCCTAAAATTCCAAACCTGACGAAAAAGAATTACCTTTAACTACATTATACCACGTATATGCCTTGCCAAGATCCTAACTTAGCATACAAAATAAAATTTCATCTTCTTCCTTTCTTTTCCCCCCAAAAGAGAATACTATCACAATCAGCCAGCCATAACCTACAAAGCTTTAAGTCCACTGCACCTTTTTCACCATCTAAACCACCCCAAACCCAACATAATGGGAAAAGGAAAAAATCGCTACTTTAAGTACCCTTCACCTTTTTCACCATTCTGGGAAATGCAGGCTAAAAGTGATTCGAGTTGGCAATGGAAACAACTCCTGAAGGTGAGAGACAAAATACAGGGTGGCTTTGATGGTCAAAGGTGGAAGCTAAAGGCTAATGGATAGTACTCCATTGCCTCTGGTTATCAGTGGCTTATGGGAGGTGGTTTGCAGGTTAAGCTTACTCACAGTATTTGGGCAAACTGTAACAGGCCTAAGCATGCTTTTATTTCTTGGTTAGTTTGGAAGGGACGGATTCTCACCAAAGATCGACTAGCCAACATGCAAATGCATATCACTGACAGAAGATGCTTATTATGTTTGGAAGATGATGAAACAGTGGACCATCTCTATTTCCACTGCAGATTTGCCAGGGGTCTGCTTGGCCTTCTTAGAGGCTGGTTGCATTGCAGAATGATTAGCTCAGTGAAGCAGGTTTGGTTGAAGCAATGGGAGAATATGTGGAAAGGCCAGGAGCTGAAAAGAAATATCTTTCTTGCAGCCTTTGCAGCTTGCATTTATCTCATTTGGGAGGAGAGAAACAAGAGACATTTTTGACCAAGTGGAACCTGATCTTGATGAATTGTTCAGGAAGGTCCAGCAGGAGGTTTTGGTTAGGTTCCAAGGCTGGAAGAAGAGGAAATGCACCTCCTCAGAAACAAGGATTTTGAAGCAGTATTTTTCCAGTTTCTGATGGAATAGTTGTTGGCTGTTTTTGAAAGCAAGTAATTGGTTATGTACTGAGGTTCAAATTTGCCTCTGAAATTTTGTAGCTAGTAGAATGAGTTTCCAAAACTGATCCAGTATGTAAAGAGTTTTCATTGTTTGGTGCTAATGTAAATATTTACTTTTCCACCAAAAAAACAAATAAACAATCACACAGTAGCCTTCGGCAGCAAGGAAGCAAAAACAAAACAATTAATAATCACAAAAGCTAACTATACACTTATTCGGTAAAAAGAGGACATCACCATAAGCAAAACATGTTAATCACGAACTCTTAGCTCACAGATGACCGGGAAAAAAAATAGTCCAAAAAAAGAGAGAGAGATTGAAGCATTTACCGGTCAGAGAAATGATTGACGATTCAGGGAACTGAAACTTGTTGATAAGGAGATACTTCATGCACTTGGCATCGTTAATACATCCTTTAAGCTCGTGGCGGGAGAATCGATACGAAATTCCGACGATCACGGCTTTCTTCCGGCCGTGGGCATTGGGAGGAGGACCAGGGGGAGCGTGATTGTATGGGGATAGAGCAGGTGGAGGTGTGGGACGGTAAGGGGGTTGGTTGGAAGTGGAGGTGGAGGGCGGAGGAGGAGGGCCGGCGCGTGGATCGGCGACGTTCGTGACTGCCCCGCAAATTGCACATCGAATTGATCGAGCTCCGTGCGGGAGCTGTAACGGAATGCGGCAGTTTGAGCAGTTCACAAGCATCATCATCTTGAATGGCTTTGATTGATGACAATGGCGATGAACGGGAACGGCAACGGCGACGGCTGAAGTGGTGGATCACGACGGGATTTTAAGAGAAGGTTGACCGCCCGAAATGAGGGGAAAAAAGGAAAAGCAAATCCAAAGTTTATAATCTCTATAAAAGTCTGTTGATACAGAGGAAGGTATAATTGGGGGTTTAAACAATCAGGAGATGGTGAAAAAAATCGACGGAGACGGAGACGCGTTCGATGAGGCTGCCGGCCGACGGGGGATCCGGTGGATATATGGCTAAAACAAAAGGAATACAATACAATAATTGGTCAAAGTTAGTTTTTAAGTAGATGGAGTAAATTACTACTACAAGTTACACTACCGCGTGAAGATTGTGTTCAGGATTTGTAAAAAAATTGGAACTTCAACAAGAAATTTCCTATATCCTAATCTACACCATTCAAATAGAATCGAAAAAATGATTGCAACAATTTCACCACCTTATAAGCTTTGAATTTGAAAAAAAAATAAAAAAATTATGCACTTAGACCACCCACAATAGTAATAAATAATATTTTATTTATCCTCTTATTTTACTCTATACTATTATATCATGTGTATAATAACTTATAACGGTTGAATAATAATTCTTATATAGTGTAATACATTATTTTGTGAGTCAACATTTAATTAATGTGTGTTCATTATGATAATTTTTTAATTTTATTTTGGTACTCTTTTACAGTCGAACGTCAGTAAATTAATAATTTATAAAGTAATAACTTCTAATAATATTATCTGGTCCCAACTTGGGACCAATAACAAAGTGAAAAAAATTGATAAAATGATAAGATAATATTGTTTCACAAAATCTTCTATACATCTATAACAATATCATAAATTAATAAATACCCTAAAAGTAAAAAATAAAATAATAATAATTATAAATATTTAGTAAAATATGAACTATTGATACTTTTTTTAGTACCTGGAGATGATATGAATTATGTTTGGAATTTTAGTATTTAGAAGAGTTTTAAACTTTTAATACATGATTTTGGATGTAAAGACAAATGCAAATTAAGTAATTTAGTGACGATTATTTTTTTCTCACATAAATTCTTTAAATTAATAATTATTAATTTATAAATTATTTAATAATTCTATTAATTAATATATTTCGGTGGTTTCAAGACTATTAATTTATAAAAGTTTTACTGTATATCGTAGAATCAATATAAGAAAAATTGATATAGTATTATAATATTAAAAAAATAACGACATATCAATTCATTATATCCATGATAAATTCTTGTGGATCCTCCTATGATGGATGGGAAGTGATCAGTGTTTAAAGCAAAATGTGAAATTGTTACTACTACTAGGGTAGAGAGAAGATATGAAAATTACAATTGTGGTTGAATTGATTGAAGCATTTTGTAATGTCATTTTCTTCGCAAAAATGATAAATGGTAATTGTTCGAACGCCCTGACGGCCCACACATTTTGGTGATCGATTTTGGGCCATATTAGAACAGCCCAATATGAAGTCTTATCCCCCTATAAAATCCAACTGATAAAGAAGTAGGGATTCTCTTAGCAGGAAATTTAGGGTTTTTGCCGCTCTCCTCCGTCCGCAACCGTCGACTCCTCGCTGAATCTCACCAGCTCGTCAACATGGTCAGTCCTCTCCCCAAATCTCTCGTATCTATCTTTCTCGCTATACTGTTTGCCTGCTGTTTTGTTTGATTAATAAATCGATATTGAGAAATAGCTCGTTTCCGGGGCTTATTTTTTGCCTTTTCGAAGTGAGATTGTGTTGCTCCGAATGTTGGTTTGTGGTGGATTCAATGGGTTTTTTAATTTTTACTGGGTAGATAGAACCATATTGTTGTTGCTTTAATTAGATAAGCTTTTCTTACAGTAAAAATGAAGCTCATATATCCTTTCAAGGTTGCATCGTACTCGAATGAATGTTGGGAACTGACAAATCGAAAGGAAATCTACTGGAAATGATCTATATGCTTTGCCATAATTTAAAAGGATTATAAGAATGAATTTGATAGCCACAGATCAAATATTAATATTTCGGTTTAGCTCTTATTTCTCTGTCTAGTGTATAAATGAGCATGTGAGGGTTTATACGTTGGAATTGATTTTCTTGTTTAGGGGGATGGGTTAAGGTAGATGGGGGATGGGTTAAGGTAGATCAATTCGCACTAGGTATTTAACATTTTATATATGCATATGATTAGGGGAAACTGGAAGGTCCATATAGGTCACTGTTGCTTTGAACTTACGGTTGTCCCAGACTCCACATGGTTTCATATACTTGAAATTTATGTTGTCATGTATCTTTCCCTCCAGCTGGAGCAGTGTACTTCAGTTGCTTTTGTTCTGGGTTGAGGTTTAACTTTTTGTTGTCTTTACTTATCTTGCAGACTAAGAGAACCAAGAAGGCTGGTATTGTCGGGAAATATGGTATGTTACCCCTCCTGTTCTCATTAGTAGAAGGTTTTGTTGAGGAAATAAAGGGGGAATTGTAGTGATTTTTGGTCTACATCTTACTGCTTACATGTATGCATATGGTTGCGGTTTTTATGTGTTGGTAAAAGCATACAATATATGTTGTCTGCTGTTATATTTTACTCCGACTGAAACAAGAATATACATCCAATATATGTGGTATTAGCATCTGAGTCTTCTTGTTGGATTGTATTGCTGCAGTTTCTTGGTTGTATCTGTAAATAATGCTTTGTCAACTTTACTGAATTTCAGGTACCCGTTATGGTGCCAGTCTGAGGAAGCAGATCAAGAAGATGGAAGTCAGTCAGCACAACAAATACCTCTGCGACTTCTGTGGCAAGGTATTTTTCCATTTCTTCTTGTTGAGGTGTTCTTTCATATCCTCTGCCAATGCATTTTGCAAATGGTAACGAACAAATGGTCTTTCATGTACAGTATGCAGTAAAGAGGAAGGCTGTTGGAATTTGGGGTTGCAAAGACTGTGGCAAAGTGAAAGCAGGTGGTGCTTACACCATGAACACTGCTAGTGCTGTGACAGTTAGGAGCACTATCAGGAGGTTGAGGGAGCAGACTGAGAGTTAGATTGTTTATCATTATTGTGGAGAAAAGCTTGTTCTTGTTATTTCCTTGATTAGACTTCATGTTTCAGACTACTTTTAGATGCAGAAGTTTTGGAATTCTATATGTAAGCTCACAGTATTCCCTTGAAAGTGTCGAGACTCTTCGCCGAATCTCACGTTTGCAAAGCTTTTTGGTTGTTTAATCCCTTGATCAATTATGCTCCATGACGTCAGCGGGTTTGTGTTTTGCATGGCGTTGGGAATTTTAATACAACAAAACAACCCCGCAATTGGGTTTTACAACTTCAGGAGTTGCATTTTATATCTCAAAGCAAGAACAAGAATGAATGGTATGAAACGAAATTCAATTGCTGCTAAAACTACTAGTTAAATGGATAGTGTGCTTTGCAGTTTGTTAGTAAACGGAAAAAGAAAAAGAAAGAAAACCCTTGTCATATAAATGGGACGAATGGTGCTGATCGAAGCTACTCTTACGATTCGTTGAAGTATGAAATGGGAGAAAAATAAAGCTGGGGAAGGGGGAGAGGAGGAGTATAATCCAACATCAGTTACACCACTGTGCATAAGGAAACTACGGAATAGAACATTCAGTTCGTCGTTTATGACACAAAACAAGCGAGATAAGGAAACCTGTAGGGAAAACGAATCAAACTGGAAGAAAAAAAGGAAACTGCCTTTTGTATGGGAAATGAATAAATATTCTCTTGGACAATGAGGAATTAAACTGAAATTTCTCTGCTGGTAATTTTCATAATTGCTCGAAATTAATTAACCATAGCATACAAGGCCGACTGGATCATTGAGATCTTCCTCATCGTCCAGTTCTAGTTTTAACTAGCTAAAACTTTACAATCAAAAACTACATTTGGAAGCAAGAAACAGCAAAACAAACCCACAGAAGAAGAGGCAGAGGGGGATCGCATTTCTCTCACTCAGCCAGCTAAAAATAAAGCTAGGGGAGGCCATTCCACTAAATTGTCAGCAATTCTTCGTCGCACCACAAAAATGGTGAGCAAAGATAATCACACTCTCAGGCGAAGCAAAGTGATCTCTATTATTCACTTTAGTTAGTAAGAAAACGGGGGATATAAGGAAATAATGCAGGTGTCATCCTTCTTTAACAGACATTCGTCTCACCAGGGGCCTAATGCATGTAGTAGTTAGAGAGGGTTGTCATGCTTAACTGTTAACCGATAGGAATTGGAATCTCATTGCTGTTACTTCGGCGATGCATTTGCTTCTGTACAGCCTTTACAGCAGCAACTCTAGCTGCATTTGCTGCTCTGTTAGCAGCAGCCACTGCCCGGTTGACCCTCTCATCCACCTTGGACACATCATAAGCTTTCTCAGCTGCCCGCCGTGCTTCCTGGATTACAGATGTTAAATATCAGAATTAACTTATTCGAAATGCTTTTTTAAATGTGTATTTAGATTTTCAAGTATTTGAAGAACGCATAATGCTCTGAACTTGGGTAGAGATTATGGAGACTACCATTTTAATCATCCCTTTGCTTAAGAATACTCATTATTTTTTCTTTCCTTTCTTTTTTTAAGTACTCCGTAGTTATAGCTAATGGTCCACCCCCTTTAAAGTCAACAAATTGGCATATAGATGTGCCCAAACAGTTCCAATTTGTGAAGTAAAAACAAAAGCCAACGATAAGAATTCATTACAGATCAGGATGCCAGACTTTAAACGAGTTCTGCACCATCACTGAACTTAAAATGCCTTCAAACTTTTAAAAAAATAATGGCAAGAATTAGATATAAATTTACCTGAACTGCATTGAGCACCTTAGAATGGTAAACTCCAACAGGTGATACTGGATAGGATGAGTTCTGTGTGCTAGGAACATTGAGAATTCCATTTTGCCAATGACCAGACTGGGTTTCCCCGTTCCTGAAAGTGTACATTCCAAGACCTTGCCTTCTTCCCTCATGCCAGGCTCCTTCATACCGATGACCATTAGCAAAACAATAAACTCCAAATCCGTGCATCTTATCAGCAAAGTACTCCCCGGCATATGTATCTCCATTCCTTTTAAAAAATATGTAGTAAGCATCTAAATCTAAAAAATAATTAGGTGAAAATAAATTCAGGGGACACTGGCAACTCTGCTCAAATCATAGAGAGGCAAAATACGACACCTTTGTGCCAATTCCAGCAAATAAATAATTAATGCTAATGATATGATACAGTAACGGCAACTTTACCAAGAGTTGCACATAACTGCTTTATGCCTTCTCAAAACCAATTAAACTTGGAGCACTCCCATCCGACAAATGTGTTCCCATTTGAGACCATCGGGAGTTAACATATTTAAAACGGCTAAAAAACTTCTAAATTAGGCTGCTTCAAAAGTTTGGATGAGAATGAATACTCTAGAAGATCAACAACTTAGTGGGGACAGCAGAAACTAGAGTCAACTTACATCTCCCAAAAGGTATCATTAAGATGGTTCGATACATGAAATGATCCGGTTCCAACTACTTTACAATTTCAGTAATTGGTTGTAAAAATATTTCCTTTCCATGCAAAAGCATTACAAACACAGCATATAAAGTTCCTTATTACATACACTCAGCACAAGGTAAGAGCATAATAACCTTGAGAGAATACAACCAAAAAATGGAAAAGAAAACTATAAAACTTAAAAACCCACCATCCTGAATCAGTTAAGAATATAAAACCCTAGTAATATGGGTCCCCTCCCCAAAAAGATGAGATAATTGAATAATACCAAAGGGAACAAAAGAGAATTTTCTAGCACCGGCTAGAATTACTAACCACCCTCCCTATGAGATAAGAAAAATTAATGAAGTGAAGGCAGTCCAATGAAACATCTCAACTATCCCATGTAGGCAGTAAATCATATTATTGGCTCACAATCAACACATTAAAATATAATTTGTTACTTGTGGCAGCCGGCAGTTCTCCTTTTTCATCTCTCTTCATTATTTTACGAGCAAAGACGATATTCACCAATGATCAACAATAATTCCTCTAATTATATAGATATGATAATCTTAATAATGGCTCCACGTTAACTTAGTGGCAGATCATATAAACGTCTAACGCCCAAGGGGCAATAAAAACCCTATCACACCTCTAAGTGAAGTACATTTTTATCTCATCCAAATACTTCGGATGACGCACTTTATAGCAGAAAAGGAAACATATTCAGTGGCAGGTATGATAATAAAAAAAAAAAAGATGTATATATTACTACTGCTCAGTTTCTTACTCGCAGAATAAACACTTTAAAGGTCCTAGGATCTAGCATTCACTATAACTTTCACGTGAACAGCCATACTACAGCTGCATAAGCGCACTAGTATTTTCAATCTGATAATACAAATCCTTCATGACAAGAAAGGCATCATAAATGAAACAACTTATCCACAAAGCTAGAACCAATTAATTTTGGACATCCATTGAACATATTGGAAAATCAACATAAACAGTTGAAGAAAAACGAAAGACCAAGCTAGCTAATTTAAGTACCCAATGAAAATTTACCTGAAATGGTAGTGACCAAATCCATGCTTTACACCCCATTTGAACTCGCCTACATACCGGCTACCATCATCACAAGTATGAACACCACAGCCGTGACTCTGCCCATTCGACCACTCCCCAGCATAAACATCTCCTGTGTAAAATCTGTACACCCCAAAACCATGCCTGAGTCCCTGTCTATACTGGCCCCTATACCTGCTGCCTCTAGCCCATGTCTCAACACCATATCCATCGTACTTACCATCAACCCAATCCCCCTCATACCTACCACTCATGTAATAGTAATAAACCCCACTACCACTGCATTTCCCCTTATGAAACTCACCCTCATACACATCGCCATTACTATATGCTTGCACCCAACATCCTGAATTAGCCTTTTTTTCAGTCTTAGGCCGCGACCCAATTGACCAAAAAACAGGCAAAGGTGCCCGGTTAGTACCAGAAGCTTGTTTAGATAATGAAAGCTTGATGGGAAGCGATCGGGACAAGAACAGCCTGATTGAAGGAAGCCTTGGAAGTGCTAAATTGAGGGAAAATAACAAAGCAGCTGAGAAAGCAAAGGCAGAGAGAAAATCAAGGATGAACGAGTGGCTGGGGTGGGAGACAAGGAAATAGAAGAACGGCAGGGAGAGAAGGAGAACCAAACGGAGGTGGACACGCAGTCGCCGGAGCTGAACGTGGCGGAGGAGGCGGCGGTGGTGGAAATTGCTCAGGAATCTGTACAAAGGTTGAGACTTGGGGATAGGGGTCGAAGAGAAAGGGTATTTATGCAGGGAATTGGACAAAGTTGGCGACTTTATGAGGGAATTCGAAGATTTGGTGGAAAACTGAGAATGGCCCAGATGGGGTCTCTTGTGAGGGGTGGTCTTCGTGGTCGGAGAAGCAACGGAGGCGATTGGGTCATTTTCATTGATGATAATATGAAGGCTGGAGCTGTTAATCTTATTATTACTATGATCGGAGACGGTGGAAGACGGCGAAGACGGCGGCGCCGGAGATGAAAGCGTTGCACCGAAATTGGGGCTGTAACTGGAATAACCCTGTGACGAATTATGCTGTTTGTAATGAAGTGCCGGAGCAACAATAACAGGGGTGGGATTGAAATCGGAAGAGATGCCGCTGCTTTCTTTTCCGATCTGAACTTCAGATTTCTTCTGATGCATTACATAATCATTTACAGAAACACCACCACCATCCAAATATACCCCACTAAAAACACAGTAATAGAACTCAAATTAGAATATAAAAGAATCCCTTTATGGCAAAAATTAAAATTATTTTGGAAAGAAAAAGCTTGATTGCTTTAGGATTTGTCGTGTAGGTGCTTGTTGTGTGTGTTTTTTTCTTTCTTTGCGGGGGGAGTTTTCTTGGTTTGTGGAGAATGGGATGGTTGTGAATCGTTGTTGGATTGGAGAGGTGTGAGAGAATTTAAGGAAGGAAGGAAGGAAGGGGGAGGAAGGAACAAACAAACAATTATTTGGTTGACAAATTTGTGTGTGTTTTTTGATTGATGATTGGGTTTTTTTTTTTTTTTGGTTTGTTAAAAAATAAAAATAAAAATGTTGTTTCAGATGGATAAATCTGCGCGACTGTGTGAGTGCGTGTTTTGAAATCAGGGGAGCGGAGAGTGCGAGGAGTTATTGGTGTCTGATGGAATAAAGGATGCCACCATTTTTGAGAACCAGAAAGAGAAAAGAGACGACCGGCCGCCATTTTGCAAAAATACCCCTCTCTGTTTATGGCAGAATTTGCCATGTGAGATTTGCAAATTTGCTCCCTTGTAAATCGGTTTGCTTTCAGATAAGGACCGATTGTTTTTCCATTTTATATTTTTAATTTTTTTTGGAGCTTAATTTGTGGTAAGTGATAGCCGGTAAAGAGAAAAATATTTTTGTCTTAATTGATTTACTAAACAGGAGTAGAAAAGCTTGTGATTCAATGGATAAAATTTTGATTCGAATTCCATTTTGATTTTTTTTTTTTTTCACTTTTAAAATGTTTGAAGTTTATATTCATGAATCAAGATTTGAAAATACGAAAATAACTTAGAATGCAAAAATAAATCTTAAACTACAATTCGTACAAAGACTTATTCTTTCCCTTATTTAATAAATTTAAGCGAAACTGGAAAATAATAATCCTTCTCCCCCGAAAGGCCAAAATGATCGAGGGAAGGAGTATCATTATATATTATAATCAATGAAGAAAAATACATGAAAATCTATCATTTATAAAATCTTAATTGTCCTTTTTTTTTGGACATCTAGTTGGTGTTGTCTCTTTTATCGCATGGATGTGGATGTAATTAAAGATATGTGGCTTCTAGAATATTAGCAATTAGCTTCTCCCGTTTACAAAGATAAGTGTGTCCTTTTCTTTTCTCTGCAAAATTCAGTAAACATCGCAATATTAAAAAAAATTAAAATAAAATTAATACGTTCTGCTGTTACGGGCATATTGCATTTTCGGTAACTCATTAATTATTACATTAAAGCATTTCATTTTTAAATAATTAGATATATATGTACGAAAGGGGAAATCATTACATTTCTTCAAGGCTACGAAATTCTACTTTATTTTGTGCAATTCAGTGGAAAGAAATTGGACGAAGGATAACTATTAACAATCAAATTTTTCAAATTTAGAAAAACTTAATTCAATTACCACTTCTTGTTACTTTTTGAAACGTTGTCAACTAATGTAGCTAGAAAATATTACCTGTCTAAAAAAAATAGTTCACATTGTGTTTTCAAATTTATACTGTTTTAGTACGAATTTCAAAACTCAATGTACAATTTTTTTTGGTGGAATGAGTAACAATTCTTTGCATAATTACATATATATTTTTAGTACATTGATTATTATTTACAGTATGTAGTTGGTTAAGAGTCTTAAAATCGGTTGCATGTTAATGACGGGTTGGGCGAATCAGTGCTTTTCATACTCTTCCGTTTAAAAAAGAAGAAATATTACTATATTCGTTAGTATCATTTTAATGAGGGGGGAAAAGATTAGACTCATTTAAAGTATCAACTCTATTTGTCATCCAATAATTGTTCATTTAAAATTTTCGGCTGAGTACATTTATTAGAAATGTAAATTCAAAATTGAAAAAATATTGAAACAATAAAAGTACTTAACTTTTTTTCAAAGTAATTAAAAAAATACGGATTGTTCATTAACTCCAGATTAAATTGCACGTGAACTAATTAAATTCTCGTATGTATTATTTCTGTTCCATAACAATAATTTTTAAAAATTTTGTATAAAGACCTACGTTGTAAAGAAGCTGCATTTGTTGACTCATCCCAGGTTTCAAATCTTGTATTGTTATGAAATCTCTGGTTCCCATGTTCGATGAACATAATAATAAGAAAAAAGACAGAATAATAGATACGCGGCTTTGTTTGGCCAACCTTCCATTTTGCATTTTGTCTCATTTTATTTCTTAAATACAAAACCTAATGGAAAAGAAAACATCATCCAAACAAATTTCTGATTTACATTTTAAATTCCAAATTGAAACACTTTTTGTTAGTGTAATGATCATTTTAGAACTACAAATAGTTCAGTGACAAATTTGGCAAGATTCCGTTGTTTAGTGATTGTTTTTGGTTTCTTTTTTGCAGTGACTATAATTGACAGTATTTAATTGTTTAGTGATGACTTGTACTTAATATTTCAAAATGTAGTTCAAAATACTTTTTTTCAAAACCAACATCCAAACAACATTTTTATTTCCCATTTAGTTTTCAATTTGAAACACTTTCCACTTTTAAGTGATAAAATAAAATAGAAATTGACGTCCAAACAAGCACTCGGATTCTTTAATCCTCGCACATACTTTACTTTCCTTAATATTCATGGGTTTTAGTACAATTTCAATTTCTTGGGATTTTTGGTAATGAACTCTCCTCTTCATTTGTTTGGAAATTTTGTGGTTTCTATATTATCTAAGTGGAATAAAACCTAACGCCAATTAAATCATTTTAGGAGTTGGCAGCAACACAAAAACCAAACGCTTTTGTTATACTATAAATATCATTTATAATATTCAATATTCTGTTAACAATTATATTCCTTCTACATCATAACTTAATCAGTTAATCATATTTCTTGTAGTATATAAACTTATGATAAGTACATGCATTATGTAGATGCTTAGTACAAGTGTTGGTTTTTTGAGTCATCTCAGTACCTTATTCTGGGAAAGGATTATCTCTTCGTGAATCCCTTTTGTCTACTCGAAACCAGGTACAAAAAAGGGAAGAAAAATACCTATATACTCTCTCTCGTCCTTATTATAAGATATTTTGATTTGTATAAAAATTTATTTAATATATTTTTTAATTTAAAATAAAATCTTAAAATTGTAGTTCATATTTATTATTTTTTTCTGATTATTAAAATATATTTTTAAGGGTTTATTTTTAATCAGAAGAATATAGTAAATATAAAACTTAAGACAAATCAAATAACTTATAAGTTAGACCTAGGGAATGTTTGATATTTCATATTTTTTACTCCATCGTCTGTCCCAAAAAACATAAATCAAAAAGAAGTATTAATTTTTAGTTTCTTACAATTTTAGTATTTTATTATTTTGTAAGAGTTTATTTTGAATTTCAATTTAATCTCTCACCCGAAACAACTAAATTAATTCTTATAGTACTTCTTCGGTCAAAAAAAAAAAAACAAATTCACGTCACAATTTGTGAATTGTGTTATTTTCAATATGTTTCACTAATTATTATGTAAATTATTTTTATAGAATAGCCGTGAATCGTTAACATTTCTCATTATATCAAACTTAGATCAATACATTAATATTTTTGCTAGTGGTGCACTTGCAATTCTCTTTAGAACAGTCGACCAAGTCATCACCAGCATCATTAATTCCTTCGTCCCGACATCCGATTAATTCATTCAGCAAACTTGCTAGCCAAGGAACAGATTTTTCTCTTCGTACACCACTCCAAAAAAACGCGTCATCAAAGAGGCAAATATAGAAAGTTATGAATTTTCCTTTGGCTTCTTTTTTTTTTTTTTTTTTCCCTGAAAGGTCCTTCATTTTCTTAGTTTGATCATAAATTGAAGAATGAAAAACTATTGTGAAATCGCTCTATGAATATCAGAATATATCAGTTTCGGTCTTTATTAGAAAACATTTTATTTGTACTAAATTTTATTTAGTACTCTTTCCGGTCATTACAATAAGACATTTTGATTTTGTCTTAAGTTTCACCTAAGATGTCTTTTTCATTAGAAAAAAAATCTTAAAAATATATTTTTACATTCGTTGTGTTCTCATAATTATTAGAAAATATTTTTAAGATTTTTATTTCAATTAAAAAGATATTTTAGGTGAAACTTAAGACAAAATCAAAATGTCTTATAATGAGGACTGGATGGAGTATATATATATTTTTTAGTTGAAATAAAATATTAAAATTTTATTCACTTTTATTGTGTTCTTCCAATTATTATGAAATATTATTTCAGGTTTTATTTCCTATTAGAAAAACATAGTAAATGAAATTAAGGATAAATCAAAATATCTAATAATAAGTACCGAAGGGAACGATAACATTGTTGTTACAATAAGGGATTATTGGTATCTCCTTTCGGTGTAGTGCTTTTAATTTAATATTTTGGACGTGTTGCTTGTTCTATTGGAAAAACAGAAGAATAAGAATGAAACAATATGGTCTACCATTCTACCAATGTTTATGATATTATTTTGGACGCAAACACTCATTGACTGATTGAAGAAGTATCAATCAAAACTCATTTTGACTCTTCACCCAACTACTTTCTACAATTCTTGCTAACAAAATCAAGATTGGGGCCATTAATATTTAATACTACTACTACATGACTTCTTCCAAATCATTAAGCAAAGAATACAATCAAAAATTTGAAATGAATCAAAGTCAACCTCATCAACAACATTAACGACATTAGTTAACTTAAAGGGAATATGCAAGTTCCTATCAACCTTATTGAAAAATGTAAAATACTGTATGATCTATTAATAGATCACATTATCTATGTAGGAGGAAGGAAAGATAACTTATTCAAGCTATTATACGTGGGTAATCAAATAAGGTCAAAGAGTGCGACAATGAGATGCTATGTAATAAGGAATTAATCTTTTAGTCACACCAAGAGAAATACATAAGAAATCACTATTGAACTTTTATGTTATGCAAGTTCGGGATGTGAAAACTTGGTTTTCGGTTCCGGGTTTTCTGTATCACTCAGAGCTGGCTGAATTCTAACAGGTTTAATGTGAGGTATTTTCTTTCAAAAAAAAAAAAAACTAAATTTGGTTAAAATTACTAGTTAAAAATTGAAATTTGAGAAAAGTGTTGTAGCCAAGTTGAGGGAGAATATACCAAGTGCAATTGTAATTGCAATATTGATACAGTAGGCATGAGTACGGAACAGATGATACTTTTCTTTCACTTGCTAATGATGCCAAAGGTCCTTTTCAATTTCTACCATTACAGCTTTCCCATCTTGACTTTGAGCATATGCACCAAAATATGTAAAACAAACAATTAGTGATGCTTTCTTTATTAGCCAAAAACGTGAAACAACGTAAAAAAGGACTTGGAAAAGAGAAGCAGATTTCACAGAATTCTATGCACTTTTGGAACATGCTTTCATCAATTCACGAATTATTTGGGCTTATAAACTAATCAAACTCATGCTAATAAGAGCCCTATGACGATGGGATTTAGCTAAAGAAGCCTAAAAAGGGGAAAAAAGAGGAAAAAGAAGAGAATTTCCATGTATTTTTCCATCCTGCTTGATGCAGTTCTCTTTTGTTCTTTAACCTTTTGCCCTTTTATTTGTCAGAACCTTACATGGTTCATTGCAAAAGTGAAAAGTGAAAACGTTTTTCTTTGAAACATTATGATCAAAAAAAAATCTACACAAAATGTTTATGATCTTTACATCTACATACAAAAGGGAAATGAACGTAAGGTACGTTAGTAAATTTTAAGGTACTGAAATGGGTTATAAACCTGATGTATTATGCAAAAAAAAAAAAGACGAAATCACGCGATAATACTCGTTGGACCATAGACTTATGAATGTGTTACTTATTATGTACTCCCACCTTTATTGATGGTGAACCTTAAGTCAAGGTTGCTAACGTGTGCAAATAGTGCCGTTCAATAATCTTTGTGTTGGGGATTCAAATGTTGAATGAATCATTTTCTTTTTAGGATGGAAAACCAGTCAAATGGAGTTGGACTTGGAAAAGTGTATGGTCATAAAACGGGGAAGGAGACAAATTGGAAAAATCCGAAGATTAATTTAGTATTTTTTTCAGCTTAGTCGAAGAGATGATGCAGAATTGCTGATCTTAATTTCAGTGGAGCAGGTACAGAACGCCGCAATTGTCTCTGTCCGGAGCATGAACTTGTTAGTAACAAGTTATACTTATGTTGTCCCAAAAAATAGTTCACAATGATAGAAGTAGTATTAATTTACTCCTACTAGTTAACTGTTCCCATTAATATGATGGTAACAAAACTCTCTTCGTCTCAAAATAATTATACTTGACAGGAGTAATCACCCAAAAACTACGGGTGAGTAATGAATGTGTTGATATCAACATATACCGAAACCTCGTGCTTTCACAGGATCAAGGTTTAAATCAGGGGCATTACTTAGGAAACTATCCAAAAGCATAGTTCTTCCAATACATCATCTCCATCATTTGATCTGAAAGGTTGTCAATATTGGGTCACCTGTTAAGTCTAGTGACTAGGTAGAAGAAAGGGGCACTCTCTTACCCTGAGTAAAATATGTCTTCAACTGTGTTTTCCCTGTTACAAGACTCAAACTAGACATTACGTCTGAAGAAGGTAGGGGCGCAAACGGGTGGACTTGGGTTTACAACAATGCGAGAAGCAATGACTGTCTCGTGCTTCACCTTCGGCCTAACTAAGCTGTTTGGCAATTCCACGGAAGTACCTTATAGTCTGATATCACCCTCCAGTTCATGATAAGGGTTCCACAGAAATGCAGCACTGTTTTCCCTATGGCCTCTTCACCTAGCTAGTGCAATTGCACAGCTCAAGAATATTAACGAGACATAAAGACTACCAACTAACTAACGTGTTAATGGACTATAAATGGCTCTTTTTGACTTGAGTATAGGGATACTGAAAATAGATTAATAGAGGTCGGTCATAGCGATAATCATTTAGGCACAATTGTGACACTCTACATAGACTTTCTTACATCTAGATGTGGTAGGCAACCAGCAGATATCAAAAGCACTCAAGAAGGGCGCCTTTATACAAATCGAGTGAGTCAACATACAACAGCTCAACCAAAACATCACATCGATATTAACTTGAAAATTATTAAATTAATTTCCTTAACTTCAACAAACACTGCTGAATGAAGGGAGGGGGCAAAAAATAGTAGTAACTAAAACAAATGAACTGGTTATATCAAAGTATCGTCACTAAAACAGCTAAAATAACAATTGAGTACAGTAGAATGAGCGTCAAGTAAGAATAGGTAAAGATTCTCCTACAACTACAAGGATTCTCGCTAAATCGCATCTAAGAGATGGCTTTAGAAAATTGGCTTCAAAGCTTATCGACAATACCAAAGAGCTATGAAGCATAGGGCGATTTTCTAGAATCCCAATAGCTGCTGCTTCTACACAAATTGTAAACTAACTCTCGCGACGAAAAGACAGATAAATAATGAAACTTGAAATGAAAAATCACTTCATCATTCTCACCCAAGAAACAAATAAGCTTACAAGATGTGCTACTGTTAAATATAGGGATAAAATTTACTCTTTGACAAAGTATGCTTGTCATAAAGGTTGAATTGATCCATTTGCACATTTCGAGCAATTTTGCTCTTTTACCTGGCCTCATACAACCAGGAAGCATTTGTGGAAGCCTGGAAGGCACCAGATGATAATAACCACTGGAACCAGGATCGGGAGTTCAAGTACTGGAACCACTCTCATCGTTGTCACGGCTTGTGGATTTTGAAACCAAAGACTCTGGGAACATAGTTCTGTGCCGCTTTCTGTGGCTTCAGGTGACCATAAGTCATCAAAAAGAGATGAGGGAATGTTGTTCCAAAATAAGCACCATCAATGTCTTTTCACAGTTAAGGTAAACCAATTGAATCAGAATACAAAATTATGCTTAAATAATCAACACAGCATAGATCAGCATAGATCAGCAGTAAGTACCCAAAAAAAAAAAAAAGGAATGTTCAAGAGCCAAATATTATACTACTCCCTCCATCCGAGAAAAATAAATAGTTCAAGAAATTGGACTATTTTGCTCGGATGGAGGGAGTAACATAAAAGAATACAAGAATCCAGAATATACAAAACTCAATTGCAGAATAAACAGATAAGTTTTAAAATAAAATATCTATGTAAGGATACTGCCTTGATATTTTGACCGTGGGTAATATATATCTTCACATTTGGGGCAGTAAATCTTCACAGTACTAGATCGAGGGATGTCAGACTGACCGACAGGAAGGCAAGGCTGCCCACAGCAATACACTCTAGGGCATCTCCCAAAATCGTAGTTTTTGTACTTCTCAAGCTGTAAAAGGTTGAAGTTCTCCCATAAGCTTGCTGCTTATGTATAAAACATAGTTTCAAAAACAAAACAATTGCATATTCAACGATGTATGCGATGCTTACCATCGCGGCCATTCCCTTGCTGGTCAATATATACCGCACATGAATCAAACCATACAACATCTCTGCTGCAGATTCAACCAGTTCATTCTGTTCTTCAGTAAACATATCACCTAACATTTCCAGAAAAAGAAGACAATTAGCTACATAAAAAATTAAAGATGGGGGGAATTTGATTCAGAATAGGAAACTAATCTCGAACTCAGATATTCAAATTCTTCTCATCCTAAAATTAACATTTTCATGCTCCTAATGCACTTTCTTTCCACCTTTTAAATTTCCAATACAGCTCTTAACAATTTCTTAAGCAAAACAAAAACACAATGCTGTCTACATATTTCCCTAGTACTCTAAATCCAAGGTCTTTTTTTATGAGACCCAGTATCAAAATGTCATAATATCTCAATTCAGAAGTAAATATATACTGAGAGCCGAAAAGTTCACATAACATTCCTGATCGACCACTATTAGGAATTTCTGGCTCATATCAGGGTGGGAACTGGTTAATGATTTATGCTAAGAATTTGAAGTGTGCGAAGTATTATCATCCACTTTTGATCAGGAAATCTCATGCCACTTCAAATTGAGGTAGCATGGATTTCTGTCAAGTGATTGATAAAGATTTCATACCCCTTAGAGGTCTAACATAGAAGTGTAGGATCTCATACTTAATAAGAGGTTTGTATCTCGTGACACTGCTAGCAGAAGATATAAGTTTGGGTGTGATCCTATTGCTGTAAGGCTTGGTGGGTCATTAACATTTCAAACAGTTAATAGGGTGTCCTTGAATGTTAACTACTAGCAGGTGCCAAACTCTTGACTATAATTAAATATCACTAGAAAACTGCATGAAATGTTGCATCATTAGAAAACCGGAAACCATAAAGCCTATCCAACACTCAATGGTACTCGAGAGAAGGTAACCCTTACCATGAGAGGATTCAACATCTAAAATTAGGTCAAGTGCGTAATCATAGTAAGGGACTTGACTGCTCAACCCACACAGGTTAAAGTCGTCCTGGATATATTCATCATCAACTTCGCAGAAAAACTCATTCCCTCGCAAGTTGCAAAACCAGGAAATCCACGATGTATCATCCCCATCAGAACCACTAACATCAGATTCTTCACTGTCCGTATCAGATTCATCTGCAACATAAAAAGGTAAATATATGACTTAGTGACGTATAATACAAATCAAAGATACACAATTAACCTCCAAATAAACAGTGATCTCAACCAAGAGATCAACTACAGAACTCAGTGAAATTCAAACGGTAGAGATTGTGTTATCTGACAAATAGAACTTAAGTTCATGGGATAACACCAAAATCATGACTCGAGAAGGAGGATAAGGTAGTGAAAAGCAGTGAAGAACCAGTGCAGACATAAAAATCAAGCTTTTTATAGGGCAAAATCTACCATCACATATAATGTTTTCATTCTTCATAAAATGCCAGAGACAAACAGGTGTTTAGCTTGAAGATTTTCAAATTCAACCTAGATAATTCCCTGTGGCAAGTGGAGAAACTGTTTCACTAGCTGGATTGATCAGAAAGCATCAAACAATCCAAGCATGTTTCACAAATTCAGAAACTGTAACTAACAACAGTTATGTAATTGAATGCACCATACTAAGTTCCACGAGAGTATTTGTCTGTTCTCACAAATTCTCTTAAAGAGATGGTCCATTCATTATTGTGCAAAGAAACAATACAAAGGCTAAAGGCATCAAACATAAAAGATCCTGGATTGCTGATGGCAATGTACATTCACAAGAATAATTATCATTCGGGCAAACATCTTCAACTTCGAGTTCATAAAAGTAAAAATATTCTAAGGTACTTTGGTCATTGACATGAAAATTATACTGAGAAAGCATCAGAGATAGTGACTTCTGCCATGTAAATGCAATTACAGTGCATGAAAATTATACTGAGAAAGCATCAGAGATAGTGACTTCTGCCATGTAAATGCAATGACAGTGCGTGTAATTACTCATTTTATTAATGTGCAAGAACCTTCTCAATAGCGAAAGTTTTTCAATCTAAACATCAACTAGTAATCTGCACTCTTTTCTTTCTGTAGCATATAAGCAACATATCTATCCCGAGCCAGCACCACAAGTGTATCCTTTAAACTCAGAAGATGAAGGCCTTAACTAGCTCCCCCAATACAAAAATAATAATAATAATGATGAAAAAATCTGTGATGCCTCATAGAAGCAAGAGCCCAGAATAGATATATCAGCAAGCGCTACTCATAGATGATAGGATAATACAAGAGCAAAAAAAACGCATTACACTAACTAAAGCAAGCATAAAAAGTCCACTGGCGCAGATAGTGCAATTTTTACACCTAAATGAAAATCATTACATGATCACTAATACATGAAAGCAACATGAAGATGTCAGATAAATCCATATTATGTATATCCAGCACGTATAAAGTTCCAAAAGAACAACAAACTGAATGCTTTTACAATACACAATCAACAAATCAGGAAAACTTTGCTGTGGCAATAAGCAAAATATCAAACAACCTCCCACTCGATATGGTCATCATCAGTTCCAAAGGAATACAATAATCACCAACAAAAAAAAATGCACTCAAAATTACTTTCCTCGGGAAATAATTAGAAACAGAAAGAACTAACCATCAGAGCCTTTAATCTTGTTGGTATTCATAGTAGCCGAAGAACGATTATCGCGGTGGTCGAACTGATGCGACTTTCCGTGGCCACCAATACCAGCAGACGAGGTAGAGGGCAACCCGGAAACAGCTGAAGATTTATCCTTCAATCCCCGAGAGGTGGACGGGGAGGACTTCTCCAAGTGTTTATCCAGAGCATCGTTAATTCGCTTCCGATCCAAGGACGACGGAGGTCCACCCATGATCTCCGACTTGGATGATCCCCCTCCCCCACCGCCTCCGCCTCGATTACTGTACATAATCTTATTAAGAGTACAAATCTACAAGAACATGAATGAATGTTTGAGATTTCAAATATGAGACTGAGGGCTCGAGAACGAGGAATGGGGGTGAAGGAAAAGCCCTCGATTGATTGGGGAGGAGAAGAATCGGGGTGAGAGACGGAGAAAACTAGGGTTTTGATGTATGTATAGTTTGTATGTGATTGTCTGTACAGAGAAAGAGAAGATGAAGAAGAAGAAGACGGGGAGCAGGCAAATCTGTGTGAGAGATTTTTTTTTCTCTCTCTCCTCTTCTAATTTCTGGTTTTGATTTCTTTTTCTTGGTTTTATTTTCGTGTTTTTTTCCTATTTATGAGTATTTCTCTTTTTTCCTCTATTTATTTTTTCTAAATTACTTTTTACAGTCGAAAAAATTACTCATTTACAGTGGACTGCACATTTTTACTTTTCTCCCTCTTTTCCTTCCCCTTCCTTCTTTCTTTTCCTCCTTCCTCCTCCTCCTTTCTTCTTCTTCACATTCAAACCCAAAAATCTAATCTTTAAACTTAGATCTACAAAGATTCGGGAGCTAAAAAAATGGCGGATCAAAGTAAACAACGTTGGGAAAACTCGCCCTGTGCACAAGTAAGTTTTTTTTTTTCAAAATTGTTATCAAAAAATATAAAAAAAATCTCCCAATTTAGGTAACCCCGCGAGATCGGCTACCCGGGAGAAGGTAAACCGGCTACCTTTGGTAGAGTAGCCGATTTTGAATCGGCTACTCTACCAAAGGTAGCCGGTCTCATATCAGCTACCTTCCCCAAAATCGACTACTCTACCAAAGGTAGCCGGTCTCGGATCGGTTACCTTCTCCCGGGTAGCCGATTCTGTGGGGTTTATCCAACCAGGGGTAACCGGCTATCCCTGAGTAATTATTTTTTTTAATTTTTTATATTTATTGTGTTTGTTATTATTTTTGTTATATTTAATTTATTTATTGATTTTATTTTTCAATAATTAGTTTTAATTATATTTTGTTATACTATTGATTATATTTTATTTATTGGTGTTCATGTTATTATAGTTAAATAAATTTGAATAAGAAGTATAAATTAGAATTTTAAAATAATATAGTTTTAGTTATATTAGTTGTATATTTTAAATAATTATGGCATCTTTTAATTTATGTATTATAATTATTGTTGTAATAATTTAAATAGGTTACAATTTAAAGATATTATAATTATTTGAATTTTTTATAGTAGTTTTAAATAAGTAGTTGTTATATTTCAAAACATTAGAGCATGTTTTAATTTATGTGTTATAATTATTTTAGTAATATTTTAAATAGGTTATAATTTAAAGATGTTATTATTATTTGATTATTTGATCATATGTTTAATTTATGTGTTATATTAATTTTTATGTGATTTATAGTAATAGTGTAGTTATATATTAATCAATGTAGGTTAAAGAAAAAAGACCGAAAAAACCCGTTGTACTTGATTCTACATTGATGGTTGGTCTGATCCACAAAGACTTGACGAGGTATTTGATCAGGCTAGTCTGGATTGTGAGAATGTCATTGACGAAGAAAATGTTCCATTCGAGAATTTCGACTCGGATGGGTAAGATCATTTCGAAGATGACACACCTCCATCTCCACCTCCAGTTAACCTGCCCCTGTAGTTAGACCACGCCTTATTGTTTGTCATGGCGGTAGTGAGTCTGCGGCTGCATCATCATCATCAGGTATAATATTTATTTTTTAAAATATATTATAATTAATTTTTTTCAAATTTTTTGGAAAAAAAATGTGTGATTTATTTTTAATAATTTCAGTGAGCAGTGCTGGCAATTGGATTGTGAGGGGGCTAGTTAGGGGTGGCCCTAAGGACGGTTCTGTTATTCCCAGTTTTCTTGGGCATGTGGCCAATCTCTTGACAGAAAATCCGTGTAAAAGCCCCTTAGAAATGGATACAAGAATCACATACTTTCAGAAATTGAAAGATTGAAAGGATGGTATGGGGCAAGAGGGGAAAAACTTGTTGGAGCATACAGGGTTGTCCCACATTGCGGGTATCATGCACAACAACATTGATAAGGTACTCATTACAGCATTTGTGGAGAGGTGGCAGCCGGACACCAACACGTTCCACATGCCTTTTGGAGAGATGACCATCATGTTGCACGATGTGCGACAGATATTGAGCATTCTCCTTGATGGTAGTTTGATTACAGAACAGCCTGGGGTTAGTGATTGTCATAATTTGGCCATGACGATGTTGTTAGAGCCTGTTGAGGATCTAGTCACTAGTAAAGCATATCAAGGTAGGGGGATTCAGGGAAAGAAAGTCGTGCAGTGTTGCCGTATTGGTCTGTCTGCTCGAGATCAGGCGATTGCCTGGTTATGCTCATGTTAGGGAACACCTTGTTTACGGATAGGAGCGGCTCTCGGATTAGAGTGACGATTCTCTCAGAGATTATTGATGACCTAACCACTTGTCACGAGCTTTCGTGGGGCTCTGCTACTCTAGCCTATCTTTATTGCTAGCTTGGCGTGTCCACCAAAGCGCAAAATGCCTCATTTTCCGGGTGCTTCACACTCATTCAGGTTTAGATATATGAATACTTTCTACGCTTTAGACCAGGTGGGGACCGTGCCTCAGGGGATCCTGCAATGCCCCGAGCTGGATGGTGGGATGTCCCACGTCCTGATAATAGCAGAGCGTCTGAAGAGGCTTCGGCGGGAAATCGACGGCCTGACAGCCGTGGATGTATGTCTCATCTAGCAATCTTGATTATGAATTATTATGGAAAATTTGTTAACACTTCTTATTATTTTTGTGTAGGTGACATGGTTTCCTTATAGACTCGATCCTGTTGACGATGATCCGAGGACCTTGTACAATGGTTGGATACAATATCGAGATATTATTGAGTCATACTTACCTGCACGAGTATTGCGGCAGATTGCGTACATCCACACCATTCCTCCACCTATCCCTAGTCCCTCGGAGGTGGTTCGTTTTGGTAAATCCAAGCTGTACAAGGTTATATGGTCACGCACTATTGCGTTAGATTCTTGGGCTCAATTCCCGTTAAGTAGCAAGCTCGATCTAGGTGAGTTACGGCCGAGTGATACAGATGAGACTGCATGCGTAGAGGGTTACCTGGACTGGTATATTTGAGTTTTGCATTCTCTGCTTGTTTTGGATCACGCTACTGTTGGGACTTCGAGAGCTGGAGTTGGAAACTTATCTCACGTAAGTCTTTGGTCTATTATAAGGTTAAGAAATTTAGTTACGATTTGTTTAATATAATATTAATTTGTTTTTCTTATTTTTTTGTGTTATGGATCAACCGATTTCTATGTTATATGGAGACACACTACATCAATTGCGCAGATGGGGTCCGGAGACTGCAAGGGAACATGGGGCATTATTTGCTCAATTCACCAAGGATTTTCATTCGAGCCATTGATGTGTATTTGACAAAGTGGAGTGTGTTTAATTAGGATATTATCTGTTACTTATAGGATTTTATTTGAGAAAGTGAAGTGTGTTTAATTAGGATATTATGTGTTACTTATTGGATTTTTATTTGACAAAGTGATGTGTGTTTTATTGGATCTATGTGATCAAGTCTTTTGCTCTAAAATAAATAAAATTTAAATAACTCGATTTAGCAAATTAAAACAAATTCTTTTGATGGCAAAGTCAGCTACTGACTAAATGGACATAGGCGGTTCCACGTTGCTATCCTATCCTGATACATGTTATCCCATCCAACAACACTATTATCAGCCTAGTCATACCAATGTGGATGTATACGAGGCACAGGGAAATCACCACCTAACTCATCACAAATGTAGTAGTCAGCATGTCCAAGGTGAACAAGCACAATCTCACGAGTAGGTCATGTGGCACTATCGCGAGCCTGAAGGGGCAACACTGTAGTATAAAACCAGTTCATATTCCCGTTCAACTCAGGTCCGAGACCATACAAAAAAACTGTTGCATTCCAGATAGTAGCAATGGCGATCAAGTCTGTGTTTTCCATCCAATGAGGTCGACCGCACCCACCTTTCTCACCTTATCCTTCGGGCAGCGTCCATTCTCTTTCCGTAGTATGCACTATCCTACAAATCAGGCAATGTAAGAAGATCACTAACAATCACTGCTCGGACCCACGGCCATTCCTCTTGCGTGTCACAGACATATTCTGCCACACAACGGAACCCACAATTCCCATCTGGCTCCACATTAAGGTATCTCTGAATGTAGGGAAGCATAAAATACGGAATGTCCTTAGCACTTTCATAGGAAACAATATCCGTCCTCCAACCTCTTGTGTCACCTATTAAAAAAATTAAAATTAAATTTTTTAGATTATATTGTCAATAATGTTAATTTTTAAACTTAAATGTGCAACTATAAAATATTCTTACCTCAATCATTGGATCTATGCGAGGATCTAGAAGGCGTGTCGTTCTGTGATGAAGTACTCATGTGAGATTGCTCATTTCCTGTCTTACGCTTCTCCCAAAGATAAGGTATTCGCTTCTTAAGTTTCGGACGACCTTTCACTCTCGTCTTCACCTTTGGTTGCTCATAGCTCATATGCTTAGAGTCATTTACATGTTGCAGGAACGCATTGATGCGCCTCAAAACAACAAGTTCCTTGTTATATGCCACATCCGCAAGACCTAAAAAAATCTTTTGTTCGTCTGTTTCATCATCAGCAATATCAACATCATCATCATCAGGAGCCGAATCAGGCACATTTCTCCTGTAATCTAGTATGCTCCAAAAAAAGTGGATGTCGGCTACTTCAAGGGGCAACCGCTCATCAACTATCCGTCTATGCTCGAATGCAAAAGGGATTCCATGAGTCTTTTCCAACACACAACCACAACTCTGGTAAACATCTTCGCCTAGTTCATGCATGCGAGCAAACTCCCTATCAAGGATTTCCAGGCAGTAATATGAGACACGTTTAACTATACGATCATAGGAGAACTGAAAGTGGGATCGATTCGAACGTCGCACCGACAACCCTAGACTGAACCTGTAATTAAAAATCCTCATTGTTAATCTAATAGTATTGGTAATACTATTAGTAATACGAAGTGAAATAAAAAACACAATAAGATAATGTACCTGATTTTAGTGAAAGCATGCTCGATCCCATTGTGGATTTTGATCCACATTGTATCTAGCTGCAGGTTTGCTTCAAGGCACTATGAGCGGCCTCCACCCTACAATTACTGGTGTTCCCTAAGTGTGTCACCTCATTTGTCCATGCATGAGCCCACTTCTTCTTGTGAACTTACCAAGTGTCCTCGACACATTTCACCAACTTTCCATAACTTTCAGCATTTGAGTGCATGTACGCCTTCATCCCTGACACAGCCATTGCATGTTCATACTGAGTAGGAGCTAGAAGTATCTCTCTGAGTACATTGTCCATCCACTAAATTGCGAATTCGCTACCACAATACTATTCGCGTGTGCCACAACACATCTGTCGATGTGCCACACGCACAAAAGATGTGAAGACTCTGGAAACCACTTACTGATTGGGCCTACCAGTCCCAACTTTAGGTATGTTATTATGGCAGTAGGATGCACCTCCCACCCAATCAAATTTTGCAACTGCTTCATCACCCAATCATAACTCGTACTCGTTTCATCCTTCATAATTGCATATGCAATCAAGAAATTCTTATTGGTTGGAGTCATCACAATCATTTGGAACAGTGGCATCTTATACCTGTTTGTTCCATAAGTAGTATCCATACCAATGTACCATCTGTAGACTCTGAGCATCTGTACAGATACTGGATGTACCAAGAAAATATCACTCAACACACCCGAATCATGATCTGTAAAAATCACATAGCCATGTTTATTAGCTACGTAAAAAAACTGCTCCACCAAAGTTCTATTCTCGAAGCTGTCCAATCGCAACCTACTCTTTTAGTTGTATACTGTTTGGGGACAACGTAGTCATCAGGGCATTCAACATTAATTCGCTTCACCATTGCAGCCGGTTTTCCTCGAAACCTCAACATTTCCCTAACAATCTCCTTCGCTTTATCGCTCATCCCGCTTATCTGCCTCTGTCCCTCCCTAAATGTATCAAACGGGTGGTTATGTGTACCCTTAGGACCTAGTACAATACAAATGCTAAATGAAGTACCATCACCTCGCATTTCGGCTATAAGCTGGAACTGGCATCCACAACACTGCGACTTCGTACTTTGCACCTTATTCTCCGTCTCTCTTGGAGGAATATCCTTTGCACATCTCAATAATTTTGACGTCTCACTTCTCTTTGACACAATAACAATCTCAAAACTAAGAGATTTCGTAGTCTGTCTCGCCCATTCTACAACATCATCAAGAGTATCAAATCTAATGCGAGTCTTGAATTAAGAGCTATAGTCAATACCAGCACCACCATAATCCTGTAATGAAACATAATCAAATTTAACAAACTTAAATATATATATAAAAAAATAACTACACAATTAAGTATATTAAATTATGTAAAACACACCTAGTGAACAATTTATAATTTAAATTTAATTACCTTACATGATAGTCAATTAACACTATATTAAATTTTATTTACATAAAAAAATATAATTTAAATTAAGTTACATTTATTACGCACTAACAATTATTATTAATAAATACAATACAAAGATGTAATTACCACTACAAAAAATTTAATTTACATAAACAATCATTATTAATAATATTTATTTCTTTAATTAAATAAAAAATCTAAACAATAAAGATTGATACTATTTATTCAAACAAACTAATCATTAAAAAAAATATTAATAATAACTAAAATGAATAAAACATAAAAAAATTGAAAAAAATAAAGAAAAAAAAATTGCTCATGGGTAGTCGGCGACAAACCAGTTACCCCTTGAGAGCTAGCTGGGTCAAAACCGGCAAGCTAAGCCCAAGGATTCTTAAAGGGTAGCCGCCATTATAAGAATTACTCATATACAGTCGTTTGGACATTTTTGCCCCGAGTACTACAAAGAGTACTAAAACACATAGTTTCAAATCATTTCTTTCTCTTCTTCTTCATCAACTCTCAAAGAAATAAAACCTAAAAATCATAATGTCAAACTCAGATCTACAATAATTTGGAGGTTAAAAAAATGGTGGAACAAGAGAATCAAGCACCGAAAGGCTCGACTTCAAATTTGATATGTTTTTTTTTTACCAAAATTCATTGAATATTATGGAAAAAAAAAACCATTCTGGATAGGGGTAGCCGGCAGCAAACCGGCTACCCCTTGAGAGTTAGCGGGGTCAAAACCGGCTAGCTAAGCCCAAGGAGCCGGTCCTCCTTCTTAAAGGTTAGCCGATGGATTGCAAATAGCAATGCCATTTTTTTATCCATGATGAAATTTCATTTATTATTACCACCCCACCCCTTAAAGTTTCACAAAAGTGAATACTAGCTATTCGATTGGCCTAAATTTCTTTTTCTTTGTAAAAATTCAACTCCAAATTTCTTTTTTTTGTTTCTTTGAAAAAGTGTTTCATTGATTAACTTCAAAACGTAAACATTGAGTTTGACTCAAGTAATCAAGTGTGGGAATACATTTTGGGAGACCACTTGCCTTCCTATGCCAAATTTTGACTATAGAATACCCAACTCAAAGTTGAAAATTGTATAATTTTGATATCACGCTTAAATATTTTATTATGTGATCAAACTTATCATATACTATTTATTAAAAAATATTTTTAAGAATATTTTAATTCATAAATCATTCGCAATCTCAGTTTAACGGATCTTAGACGGTTGATGCTTCTATATCAATGAAGCTATTTTATTCTTTTTGTTGTCTTAATTCTAGTGAAGGTGTTTAGTGGTTTTGTATTTTGATGTGGTAAACTTTTGACTTGTGGGTTATGATAAAATAATAATTATTTTATTTTATTGCAAATAAAATTCTCCGAAAAAATAGTGCGTCGCCAAAATAATCAAATTAAAGCGTATTGGCAATTTTAAAATCATTTGGTACCTTATAATATGAATGTTGGGGTCACCAGCTGTACTAAGTACCATATGTAATATAATGCTCTTTCATGTTATATGTATCATTTACCAAAAATTGGGAACTAAACGAGAGTCTAGCGAAAAATATCATATCATCTCCTTACGAGAGGGTTCAAGTCTCGCCCAATACCAATTTGGCAAGAAGATTTTCTAGTAAAGTTGGGCAAACCGATCGATCAAATAGCTGGTTGCGACAGATTGGATTAAACCTGAAGTCTTCTTGTATTTATTATTTTTTTTAATATAGGTCACATGTCACTGAATAATATACTTGCTCCATAGTTATTACTCTTTTGATAATGACCAAATAGAAAAGGAAAAAAAAAAATTAAAAAAATCAAAAGCAGATGTGCCGCAGTTTTCAAGTTTTCTCCTATAACCCGGCTTTAAAAATAATGTTTTCTTATCATTTATCGATTTCTATCAGAAAAGCAAATAAAAATAGTAATACCTGAATAAGCTTTGTATTCTAACACTTTTATCTCACAAATATAAAAACTTACTTTGGTTATTCTAAATTTATTAAGTACACTTTAAGATAATTTAATTTGTTTGAATTAAAACGATATAATAAAATAGATTTATTTTTTTGAGAAATAAAATTTATTAATTTACTGGAAACCGTCCAGCAACGAGAAAAGATACAACCAGAAAAACATAATTTACAATTGGCCATAATCATAGTGTCTTTGTTGTGTTTTATATGGATAAATCTATATAGATCTATCCTATCAAGCAATGGTTGTATCACGCGCCGAAACAAAGATACAACACTAAAAATTAGTTGAAACTCCCAAATCATAGATCTAATAACTAAATCTATGATGATTGAATTTTTTAGACCCATACGAGCGAACTCCAACGAACCCGCCGCCGTACCTACAAATATCACCGGCAAAAATGTCGTCATATTAGCGAATATCACTAAAAAAGTCATCGCCATACCAGTGAACATCCATAACGAAGTTGCCGCCATACCTAATTAGTAGAGGAGATTATAATCTCACTTATTGAAAATAAATTAAACAATAATAAAAAGTGTAAGAATCGGGACATAATTATGTCTCTATTCTTTCATGGTGGAAAGATGGGAGAAAAGATGGAATTTTTTTTGTTTTAGGGTTTTAGGGTTGGAGAGGAAGAGAGAATAAAATGGACTATTAAAGTAAGTGGAACATGAGAATGCTTAATTTAATGGCTACTAGCTAGCTTTAATTAGTTCCACTATCCTTTTAAATTCCGATGTTTTATTGTCTATACTCTATCTGCATTCGTTGCATTTGTCCACTCTTTCGGGTTCCCAAGTTCCCATAAGGATGGCTGTTCAGCTCTAGTCCTTTTGGTTTATTTGACGAGTCTCTGATTTCTGCATTGGAAGTAAATTCGGAACCATTTCCCGAATCCATATACAATTCCCAATCTTCTCTTTATATCCCAATTTCATCACCATCGACAGTGTCGCCAGAGTCCCAAAAAACACTATCAAAAAAAAAAAAAAGAAAAAAAAAAGTGAAAAGATCAGAAAGGGGGAAAAGAATGGTGGGAGCTGAAGAAGATTGGTCTTTTAAGGTAATCGTATCGCTGAGTTTGCTTGGCGCTTCATTGTTGTTCGGACAAATCTATATTGGGTTAGTGCTGAAACCCAAAAGGGCACGATCCAGGCTTGAAAAACAGGGGATCAGAGGGCCGTCACCGGTTTTTCTCTATGGAAACATCCCTGAAATCACTAGGATTCATATCCAAGCTGCGGCGGCGGAAGAAACAGCCGGAGCCGGAGGAGAAAATCTGTCTCATGCTTGGCCGGCTAAAGTATTCCCGCATTTACAACAGTGGCGAAATCAATACGGTATGTGATTACTTTGATGTTTGACCATTTGTGTTTGATGATTTCTTCATAATCATGCATAAACAGCAAAATTTGAGTCAACCCCCCCTCTAATTCTACATCCCAAAAAAATATAATTTACTTTTATTAAAATAATAACAAAATGAATTAAATTTTTTCGAATAAGACATTGCAAAAAAGAATTTTTGTTTATCGTTTTATGTATGCCTTTAGAGACATTGGCAACTAAGCAGCAACTAAAATGGTTGGAGTTTTGCTAGTGTACAAAGCGACTTTGATCATAATATAGTTAAAGTAATGCCATTTTCTATCTCGTGCAATATTTAAATACGTCAAAAGCTATGACCTACTTCTTGAGCTACACAATCTAAAAGTGACAATGCTGTTACGCATTTTCTATATAACTCATAAGAAATTTATTAAAAAAAAAATAGAAATACAATCATAAGAATAAATAAAGTATAACTTTTTCGGTCCTCAAATTTCTGGTTATACGTTCTTTAATTTTTTTTTTTTTTTTAAAGTTTCCAAATTTTATACCTTCACGACTTGCTGAGTGTATTTTGTTTATCCTTCTCGGTTAGTTTTATCGGTGTAATTGATCAAAATTGGAAGCACTTACTCGCTGCTTCTAGATATGACAATTTATTCAATAATTTTAATCTAAATTTGAATCATTTTAACGGTTAAAATTGGTACAAGGATTCTATAGATTGGAAAGTTGCTACCAAAGAGTTATCAACTCCATAACCAAAAGAGCTACCAGCATCAAAATCTTTGGTCCAAACTGAACCTTTCTATGACATGGCGCAAAAACGAGTCTAGCATAAAAATTGAGGGACCTATTAAGTAATTTCCTTAAGCATTCGCATTTCTCGTTTCATTGTGGTTCGCGACTAGCTTGACAGGCATGATGAGACTGGCAAGCTTTGAGTCATGAAGAAAACGAGTTTTGTTAGCTCTCTTTAGTGAAAGTGCCTAACAATTTTTGTAATAGAGCATTGCCTTTGGAAAAGATTAGAAGAACACAAACAATTGATTTTCTGCGAAAGCACCAATGAACGAATGAATTCAGCCACTAACCTTACGATCATTTCTACTGCTGCAAACTGCAATCTGCAACAATATCTACACAGTGCTCGCTATTATGCATTTCAGGACCAATATTCGTGTATTCGAGTGGAAACATTCAGACACTTTGCATAATGGATCCAGAAATGGTGAAAGAACTGAGCACTTGCACCTCTTTGAATTTGGGAAAGCCTGCTTATCTATCAAAAGATCGTGGACCTCTCTTAGGTCAAGGAATTTTATCGTCAAACGGCGCTTACTGGGCATTCCAACGAAAAATTATCGCTCCAGAATTCTACCTCGACAAAGTGAAGGTAAGGGACGAGAATGAGATTTGTAATCTTGAAGTTCCAGATTTTCTTTTACTTTTCTGAATATTTTGTAAAGACACTAGGGTACTAATGCATTCACTTTCGCACCTGAAAGGGGTTGACAAGCCTAATGTTCGATTCCACCTCCACAATCATACGATCTTGGGAGAGCAAGATGAATGGTGAACGAGCAGGGGTGGAAATATCAGTGGATGAGGATATGAGAAACCTGTCGGCTGACATAATCTCTAGAGGTTGTTTTGGCAGCAGTTACTCCCAGGGGAAAGAAATATTCTTAAAACTCCACGCTCTTCAACAGGTTATGTCAAAAGGGAACATCGGAGTTCCTGGATCAAGGTAATAACAACTCAGCGATCATGATAAAAGTGATTATTGGTAAGAGAACAGAGAAGTTAGTTCAATCTGGCAAACCTAATATGATAAGTGAAACCTGTTAATGTGCAACTAACTAATGGATTAATCTTTTACTCTATCCAGTTGATAATTTGGTGACATGACGTAACATGACAGGTTTATCCCAACCAAGACTAACAGAGATATGTGGAGATTGAAGGAAGAGATAGACACCATGATCTTAAACGTCATAAAAGCGCGAAGGGAAACTCAGCATGATAAAGACCTTCTACAACTGATTCTTGATGCAGCTAATAATGATGGAAACAATAATTTCCTACCAAATGATGTTGCAGCAAGCTGGTTCATTATTGACAATTGCAAGAACATATACTTTGCAGGTCATGAAACAACTGCCATCTCATTATCTTGGTGCTTGGTGCTATTGGCTGCCTATCCAGACTGGCAAGCTCTTGTGCGTGAAGAAGTGCTTGAAATTTGTGGCGACAACCCTCCAGATGTAGATAAGGTTCGGATGATGAAACTGGTAAGTAAATACCCAAATGCACGATTCCAGCTTATTCTCAATGAAAGCAGGTCATAACAATCAAATCAAAACTATTTCTAAAAACTGACTTTTGTGCTACAAAATATTAACAGCTAAACCAGGTTATTCTAGAAACTCTGCGTCTTTATCCACCAGCAGTTTTTGTGGGTAGAGAAGCTCTTCAAGACATAAGTCTTAAAGGCATAGAGATTCCGAAAGGCACATACATTCAGATTCCGATATCATTTTTACACCAACATGGTGAGATATGGGGACGTGACGTGCACAAGTTCAACCCGGGAAGGTTTGAACATGGAATATCAAGAGCCTGCAAAACTCCACAGGCATATATGCCCTTTGGCGTGGGGACTCGTAACTGTCTAGGCCAACACTTTGCAATGATGGAACTGAAAGTGATACTGTCCGCATTTCTTTCGCGGTTCAGTTTCTCATTGTCACCAGCGTATCAACATTCCCCTGCCTTTCAACTAGTCATAAAGCCTCAGTATGGGGTTAAGCTTCATGTGAGAGCTCTAGAATGAGCACCTTTCATTTTACTTAACAATATAACATCAATACCCCTGAAGGACGCAACTTACCTGAGACACTTATGAATTATTACCAATCCAACTATTCTTCTAAAAAAACTGATATTGCATAGTTATATTATGGATTTGGACCCAGAATAGATGCTTGAGGTATGGTCCTCAAGCAATGGTGGATCAATTTCAACACAGGCTAATCCTTATATGACTCTATCATGTCCCATTGGTCAAGGCATCAAGCTCAGAAGATCCAATCAGATATGTTCATTGATGGAACAACCCCAGTATAAAATCCTTTCAGATGCCAAAAGATATGTGAATTTCTAGTGCATGTAAGCACAAACATATACTATATTCCTTCTGGAAACCAGCAACATTTTGTTGTTCAAATTCCTAATGGTGTAAATCTTGTATAAAAGCATAGCACGAATAATATCCACTACAAACTTAATACAACTGCAAGCAACGCCATTTTGCTACAGATGGGGGAATGTTTTCCAAACTCTTCCCAATACTCAATTATCAAAAGGTTGAACGAATTTGTAACACCAATTAACACATTTTATGTGTTTCTGCATTACATAAATTCTATCTAATGTAAGCAACTGCAGGAGACATTCAATACATGAGGTAATGAGAACTAGAGCAGACAAGTAGCCCCCAAAGAGATAAAAAAGTTTAAATACTGTAAATCAAAATAATAAGAGAGAGAGAGAGAGAGAGAGGCATTCAGATTTGCTCCAATTGAGGTTTCCTTATTAAACTTTTGTCTGATGTACAACCATTACGGATTCTTGCATACATTGGGATTGAGGGAACATGTTACAAATTATCCGGTGTCACAAACAGCTGAAACAGACAGTATTCACCTCAGAAGAAGGTGCAGTTATAAACTAGTTTCTTGATTTAAGAGAATTCATGAAAAGAGTGATCGATTCCGATTTCGCTCAAGCCGAGCTTCCCTCTGCAGAGACATTGATACAAGGAACAAAGTCACAGAGCTGACTGACAAGAAAGAGAAACACCTAGAGCTACAAAAATTTAACAGTTATACATCTACAGAATTGCAAATAAGTATACCAAAGACCACCATAATATTTCCCCGAGCAACTGAAACCAGGCATAAGCAAATATTCAAACATAAAACAAACTAGATTCGGAGCTTCAGCTAACATTTGATTCATCACATTAAGTGAGAGTCAAGACCATGTTTACTGCAAAATTGGTTCCTACAAAGTAAGAGACAAACAAACTAGGAATAAACAGAAAGTAAATATTTTGAATTTAGAAAATGTCAAGCGTCAAGAAGAGAAAATGAGGTTAAAAGTTTAGCAAATCTTAAAAACTTGGTCGTAAAAATGACCCTCAATCAACCAAGCCTTAAAAGACGAGGCAGGTAGTAATGTCTGAAACTCCAGACAGTTCTATTCAGAATCAGGATGTTGCTCCAATTACGTCTAAAAATAGAAATAAACATTAAGCATGGCGCTTAGGTTTTTGATGTAAAATCAAGCCGACCGGACAATATATTTTTCTCATAAAATGGCTAGTTCCCACTATATCATCAAAGCTCGAGAGATAACTCAAAAACACCAGTTGAAATTCTATCTTATTTTCCCCCAACAACATCATCAACTCAACTATGAGAACCAAAAGACTTGAAAACCATCAAGAAGCTACAGTAGTAACGGCTGCTTACCTCCTTTTTCTTGCATTCCTTGTAAACATCAAAATGTTGTTGGCATTTACTTTTCTCAGCACCAAATTCTTCTAGGCCTGCCAAATTTCAAAGAAGATAATCAGACCAAATAAAGGATCAACACTAAAACAAAGCCGAATCGAAACTAAAGGTGCAGAAGTACGATAATTCTCGAGCACAACAACACATCTACCATGCCTAAAACTAAAAGAGAATCAAGATTGCCACATCCCAACAAATGAGTCTCGCACAAGAATTAAACACTATTGTTTTCCTATAACGTACAGAACTACAAACACTTCAATCCGTATCAGTTGATTCCAAATTTCTGCTTCTGAGCGATCACATATTTGATTTCGAATTTCTGATTCAATAGAACATAATAGATAAAGCCGATTCTTAATCACATCATAGAATAGGAACGCGGAATTACATTTGAGAGAAGCAGTATATTGCGGGTAGCATTGTGAATCAGATATTCTGGCTGCGCTTGGATAAGGCGGTGACTGTATCTGAGCTTTTGAGCTTGAAGACGACATCGTTTCCCAGTCTCTGTCTAAAATTTCAGCCGCTGCTTATGAGAATGGTCACCGCGACGCCGTAGAGAAGTCGAGAACAGGTGGCACCTTATTCACAATCACAGCATTTGTTTAGTCTTTTTTAATCCGGGGAATCTTTTGGTGGCCGGAAAACCGTGAAAGCTAAAAACAATTTTCTCTCCGGCGGTTTAAATATGGGCAACAAGCAAGTGGAAATTGGAAAATGGAAGGAGAATGTCAGTTTTAACTTGTTAGACAATAATTTTTGGGCTTTGTAATATGGGCCATATTTGCCCCAATAGAAAACAGCTAGGCCTAAAGATTTACCAATGGCCCCCATTGTGATATCGTAGTTGTTTCATTTATTTATTTATTTTATTGCAAATATGTATATATATATATTTTTTTTTTTCCTAAAATCAAGTAATGTTGAATCCCACACTTAAATATGGGTAAAGTCCGTTTTACAACCCATTTGGTGAGAATTGAACTTGAATCTACTCCCAAAAATACTAACCAAAAAGATTGTGACCGTTAAATGGTAAGAAATCATCCATCATACAGGGTTCAAAACTCGTAATGACAGATCATTGGTTCTTAATTATTGTTATTGAACATCCTACCATATGAAAAAAAACAAAAAAAATCTGCTTCTAATATTAGTTTCACATAAGATAATAGTAGTGGCTTCTTGCTAATGTGGAATAGGCCTCTCTCATTCCTTTAATCTTTCTCCAAATAAAATATATATATATATATATATATATATATATAAATAGCTAGGTGTTCGATGAAGCTATGTTTAGAGAGTGACCAATTTTTTTGGGGTGGGAAGAAAACAGAGATGAATTTGAAGGAAGATAAAGATGGCACTCTAGATACGCAGGTTCAATGTTGGACCGAGATATGCATAGGTATATATAACTATAAAATGTGGTAGAACCACGTTAGGTACAACTATATTGCTTTGTAATGATATGATAAATAATAGGGAAAATACTGTAACCGGTGCTATTTTGCATCTTTACAATAATAACATATTTTGCATCTTTAATCGCCTCGTTTGAATTCTGGAAATGGACTAAAGTAAGCAGAAATGATGTTCAAGATATGCATAATTTAGCATATAATAGGATACGATGTAATAATATAAGTACTTCTTCCTAATTAATACAGGTACCATTCTCAAAAAAAAAAAAAAACAGATTGAGTGATATTTTTCTCAAAAATTAACTGTAACTAGATTAGAACATTACATTACTTTTTGGAACTACATTTTTGGATTACTACATAGAGAGTGAGATCAGAACTACTCCCTCCGTCCCAAAATTATTGTCCAGTTTTACTAAAATGAAAGATTTTATTTTTAGTCAAACTTAACTATATTTTACCTTAAACAACCGGATATACCCCTATATAAGTAATTGTTTAACCACTAAGATTTTATGGATAATGTTTTTTATTAAGGACAAATATGTAACTTGATCCATAAAAAGTCACATTGGACAATAATTTTGGGACAAAATTTTTTGGGCAAAGTGAACAATAATTATGGATCGGAGGAGTACATTTTAACTAAATTCATGGGAATCACCCACTTTGTATGTGCAACCACTGTGAAACAAACTTAACAAAAGCATGGAGAGTTGTATTATCTTCTTTCTTTCTTGATTCAGCCTATTAAAAATCTCGCAATTCCATCTCCTCTTTACGAAACCTCCCTCCTCCTCCGCCACCCCCAACATTCTTCCTTCCTCCAGCCGGGAATTTTTTTGCAATGGATTCCATCGCCAAGAACTATTTTGTCATCAATGTTCTCCTCTTTTTCCTATTCTTAGTAGCCATTATTTCACTTTATAACTGGACTCCAGGCCTAGTATCTATTCTACCACTCAACTCCACATTGATGAGAACTCACACTGATCATGTGAGTTCACTTTACATTTTCAACTTTTTATACTTTGTTGTCAATTGATTTTGAGTTGGACATCTGTATAAATTAATCTCTTTGGCAGGGATTGAACGATGAGCTAGAAGAAGTATTGTCGAAGGCTTCGACGGAGGACAAGATGGTGATCATTACCGTAGTGAACAAGGCGTATGTTGAGCCGCATCACGATCAATATCCGACCATGTTTGATATTTTTCTCGAGGGTTTTTGGGTCGGAGAAAGAACGCAATTTTTGCTCGATCATTTGTTGGTGGTTTCCATGGATCAAACGGCTTACAATCGATGTTTGTTTAGGAGATTGAACTGTTACAGATTGATAACGGAAGGTGTCGATTTTACGGAAGAAAAGCTATATATGACGGCAGACTTTATCAAAATGATGTGGGCTAGAACGGCTTTTCTCCTCGACGTTCTCAAGCGAGGTTACAGCTTCATATTCACGGTGAGTTAATTTACAATATTAATTTACTTTTTCATAATTATTAAATTAATAAAGCTATTAAGAAATCAAGAATGAACATGTTGATTAGGGATTTTTTTTTTCAGAAAACGGAATTAGGGAACTGTTAAGTTTGGCATAAAAGAGAGTTTGTTTGATAATCGGTTTGATGATAAAATTCAGCAACTTTTCGTGTTCTGGGCTAAGGGAAATTTTAATGATTTCATGTGTGAAGATAAGTAGTTATCGGAACTAGGAGTACTGAAAATGCACGTAGTTGACCAAAAGAAGATAATTACCTACCTATATTTCTTTAGTTTTGTCAGACCCAGTATTTAAGTCATACAATTTTACTTATGTGAGAGTAAATTTCTCCCAATTTTGTGTTTGTTTTCTTTTCCATTGTTAAAGATCATGCTTATCTTGCTTTAGGGATAATTATAATAAGCTTAAGGGACTTATCTTAATTATACTTGGCCTGTTGCAAAACTTATCTATTTTGCTAATGATCTTGACATGATAATCCATATGTGATCATGGTAGGTACGAAATATTTTCCTCGATCTCTTGTTATGTTATTTCTGCAAAACGGACAACTTTCAATCATCTGATGTACAATTCTTTTAGTTAAGCACTTTTGTAATATTGACACTTCATATAGGCACTGAAACTTTTGATCGAATTTTGATGGTGAGAATAGAGTTGAATTTGTCTGGTAAAGAATAGAAAATTACGACTGACAAAACTAAATTAACGGCAATTTCCCCCAATTATACATACCATAAAAGTTGCTAACTTTATTGATTAGGTTGTTTAGTTTCACAAAATGAACCAATTTCCTGGATATGTATCAAACAATTTTTTTGCGGATGACAATGTCCACCGCATAATTCACTTTATTCCATTTTAATAATTCACTTTGTTTGATTAAAATAATATAAGTTAATAATCATCTACACATATATATTTATTTTGGTTAACAGAAGTAATTTTTCTACTTTTACGGCAATTTTACACTACTTGAAGAGTACTAGTTATTAACTAGTGGGCAAGAGTGCCTTAAAGGTACTACTTAGGAGAATTAAATGGCAAAAAAGTTAATGGAGTTTCTAATAAATGATTCTACGTACGTGTCATTACTACAACAAGTTTGAGACGTCAAAGAATACATACTATGCTTGATTCTGTTAAATAGCAAGCTAATTTCTATGGTTTTTTTTTTCTAATTTTTTTTTTTGAAACAGGACACAGATATAATATGGTTAAGAGATCCATTTCCAAGACTGAAAATGTACAAGGAAATCGACGACATGCAAATGAGCACGGACCGATTCAACGGGTATCCAAGCTCAACGCAAAACTCAATCAACACCGGATTTTATCACGTTAGGTCGAACAACAAGACCATAACGTTATTCGAAACCTGGTACGGCAGAAGAACCAGTTCCGCCGGCATGAAAGAACAGGATGTTCTGGCCAAATTGATCACAAAAGAAGGCGTGATCGACAAACTAGGGTTGAGGGCAAGGTTTCTGGACAACGATCATTTCAGCGGGTTTTGTTCGGACAGCAAGGAAGTCAATGTAGTGGTCACCGTCCATGCCAACTGCTGCCGGAGTATTGGCGCCAAGGTGGCGGATTTGACTAGGGTGTTGAAAGATTGGAAGACTCTTAGAGATCCAAATAACACTAGTAATGCTACCACTTGGTCAAAGCATGAAGCCTGTGGGAAGGCTTGGACGCTGCCACCTTCACTTCTGACCTAACCAAAGTAGCTTCTTCTTCTTCTTTTTTATTATTATTTTTTTAAATTTTATATTTTTATTTACAAATTAATAGTTGTATCTTTGAATAGGAAGTTAAAAGAATTGACTTGATGGAGTAGTATACATATAATTGAATTACGTGTGTATCGGATTTGAGGACATTAGTAGTGTTGGATTTGAGGAAATCAGTATATTCATGAGACAATATACGAAAATGTTTTAATCTAATGAAGCTTCGTAGTTTCTCTAAGGGGATTTAAATGGTAGTACGTAAAAAAGTAAAGAAAAGCTCATTTGTCACTGATGATGTAACAACTTTGTAAGATTAAGTAGCACATCTAGCATGCGGTAGGGAAATTGATAAGAAATGTAGTATCATTCTTCTTTCTGTTCTATAATGTTACTGTTATTTATTGTAGTATAGTAATATTATTCTAATAACAAACATTATATTTATGATGAAGGATTATCTATCATTTCTTACTATATTAGAAACAAAAACCACACTTTAGAGAAAGCACCACCATTTGCTATGTGGCATTTCCACATCATATTTTTAAAATAAATTTTTATTTACACATCTCCTAGACTTAAAAGGCAAATGCAGTTCAAATCCACCTTCACCTCCTATTTTCGCAAAAAAAAAAAAACCACATGTTCATAAAAAACCCAAATCCTCATCCCCATCTCCACGACAATCGACTCCCTAATCAATCCGTTCTCCAAAAAAAAAAATTTCTCATCAATCATCAATTGAGAATATGTGGTGAAATATACTCCTTTCCTATTAGCATGTTAAATTTTTTCATTGGTGATGATCAACTACATCCTAATCTGATAAAATTTCGAGTTCAAAAAATATTCTCTTTACCTCATTATATAAAACAAAGGAAAAAAAATTCTCATTGATCTTGCTTCGGCCATTATGGTGGTGCCATTATAGGTATTAAAATTTAAATGATTTTATTTCAGCAGATCATTTGTTTGACTTTTATTATTTTTTTGTTTTTCCCGTTCAAGAATAGTGTTACTATTATTTTTATGCATTCATCCGTTACAGTTACCGTAGCCGCTGTTAGGTAATATGATGTGATTTCTTATATGGTTAGTTAGCCTAGATTTTTTATATGATTTTAGTTCTGTTTGTATTGAATTGATTAATTGGGTTTTTGTTACAAAGTGTGGTTTTTTAAATTTCTTTTTTATGTTTCATTCAATTAGACTGGTTTTCTTTTTTTTAATTATGGAGTCTCAGGTTTTTTTCATATATGGTCAGTTATGAAGTGTGTTTTTTTCTTTGTTTAATTGCTTTTGATTTTGTTTCATACTCCCAGTTGACCAATTATTATTATTATTATTTTATTTTATTTACAAATGAAGCGCTTTTTTTTTGTGTTCAGTCTTTCAAGAATATACTTTTTTGGATTTGGTTTTTGGACTTGTTTTAGTTCCTCATCATATAAATAGTTCATGTCGCTTCTTCTAACTAATTTATGGGGAACCTTTTTATGAATTTGAGGTGGAGAGGGAAGGAATGATTTTTCTACGTTTATTTGTGTTTTTATACATCATTTTTACCTACAGAAAAAAATAAATTTCTCAATTTTTAATGGGCTATCTTTTACTTTTTTTTTTTAATTTGCCATGGTGAGGTGACTTTTTTTTTGCTATAACTTGAAACCTATGTAAATTTATATTATATTCATTCTCATATTTGTGATCAACCAATTTCAACAATTAACCAGTTTCAAAATCATATTTTTGATATTTTACTACCTATAAACTTTTGGAAGAAATAGTTTCAACAATTAAGCGTATACCTTTTGGAGAAGCTTACTACAAAGCTATTATAAATCTCCAAAACTAAGTATTGATTTGGCACAACCAATGGAGAACATCAATAAATTATCTTACTAATATTTAAACTTATGAGGATGCTTTTATATTTTGTCTTGCATTTACTTCAAGACATATATTTGATCAAGTTTAGTTATATTTAAGAAGTAACACTTATAAAACATTTTTAAAATCTTCAAACATTTCTAAAACTTACCGGGCCAAATACAATTTTTTTTTTAATGCCAAATACAAACATTTCTATGATCACACTTATAAAACATTTTTAAATTCTTCAAACATTTCTAAAATATATCAGCCCAAATACAAAATAGTTTTTTTTTCACATACAAATATTTCTAAAATCTACAGATGTATTGGGCTAGAATCGCACATTGCGCGACCAGACATCACTAGTATCTAGAGATGCAAGGATCAAAACCTGCTTTGAGAGAATGAAACAACTTTGAATAATTTAGCCAATTATCTTATCACTAATAAAAAATTTTACAATTTACTAAGTGAAAGCCGATTTTCTACTTTGCTCAAGAATATATAAGCGGAAAAAAGAAGCGCTAAGGCAGGCACAGGTTACAGGTAATGCCGTCCGTTGGTTGTATTCTGTGTGACGAGTCCTTATCCCACATAACAATTAACAATAAATCATAGAACTAGTGGTTGTTATGGATACTACGTACTTTGTAAATATATATACAAACAAGCAACAGTCCTTTTTGGGTGGAGGAGTTTCAATTGATGCATGGCGAAGTTAAAATTTTGCCTCTAAAACGGAAATCTTAATTCATATACAAAGCTATCCATTTTGAATACACATTTCTTCTTCTCTATTTCCTTTTAACATCACAAACGTGATATTCGGTTTTGATTTTTTAAAAGTTCAATTTGTATGTGCAAAAAGTTCAATTATTACATGGAAACTCTCATCTAATATGAATGAGTTGATGCATGGCAATGACCCTTGCCAAAGAATATATTATATATTACTTGAGCGGAACTCAAGTTTTTCCGTTAGTTTCCACTAAGGTTTGAACTTTGAAGACTCAAGAACACTGCTCCTGGTTTTTTTAGTTGGTTCTAAAGTTCTTCCCTGGAAACCAAGGGTGATACCTTGAGGCATGCTTCTCCATTTCATTAATTGAATATAAAAATACATAGGGCAATACTTAAAATTTGGAAGATAAATTTTGCATAAACCCTAACATTTCTAAACTCATAAATTTCCTCAACACAACATGATCCTACTAGCTACTACACATACTAGCTAAAGTGCTGCATAAACAGAAACAATTGGGATAAAAGTATTACAAGTTACACACAAATCTTAAACTTTTGGGTCACTCGATGCAATACCAGAGAATACCAATTAAGGCCTTAAGGAGACTTACATAAACCTGTGTTTTGAAAATCGGACCGGACCGGGTGGTCGAACCGGTTCGATCGAAAATCGAAGGCCTTTTCGATCGGGTTTGATTAATAATCGGTAGACTTAAAAACTGGTCAAACTTGGTCAAACCCGGACAAAATCGCAGTTTGACCGGGAATCGGTACCGGTTAAACTGAAATTTTAAAATTTTGAAAATTAATTATTTTTTTAATAATTTTTATAGCCGATTTTTATCGATTTTAAAAATCGATTTAAACCGGTTGAACCGGTAAACCAGTAAACCACTTAAGTTACCGGTTCACCTTCCGGCCGGTTTTCAAAACATAGACATAAACCAGGATTAATATACGGAGCTAAAGTGCTAAACAGAAACAATTGGGATAAAAGTATTACAAGTTACACAACTTTTGGGTCACTCGATGCAAAACCACTAATTAAGGCCTTAAGGAGACTTACTTAAACCAGGATTAATATACGGAAGTTCCGAACGAAAAGTCATCTTTCATGTAAACATATGTATTCACCCAATAAAGTAACAATAGACAAGTTAATTTTGAAAGTTCATGCAGAAGTTAAAAGTCTTCCCTGTATGCATGTATATATGCTTCTAAATCTTTCCACCCTTTCTCAACTCTTTCACAACTGATGAATCTTTCTTCTTCCTAATTCTTCTCCCCAAATTTTGTTACAGATTAAGTACTATAATATGGAGTTCACCCAGAAGTACTACTTGGTTACCAATCTTGTCCTCCTTTTTCTATTCGTATTGTTAGCAAAAGAACCCTTTGGGTTATAAGGAAGAGATCTTTTAAGTGATAGGTTTAGGAAGTGAAAATGGAAGAGAAGGAAATTTTGGGAGAAAGGGAGCTTTACTACTTTGTAGTAAAAGGAAACAAGGTGGAGTGTGTTAAGCTTTTAGTTTAAGGTTTCTCACAACTCTCTACACATACTTACATTAGGGGGTTAACTCCTATTTATAGGAGTGCATGGAAGGTTCTACACTCTTTCAAGATGTTTCTACTCCTTCTAAATATCTACATATTTTATTCTAATATCTAGACTTTTCCTTACTAATATCTAGATATTTCTTCTAGATATTTTCCATGAATTTTCTACATACTCTTGATATTTATGTAGAACATTTCTAGAACTTTCTACTTCTAGATATCTTCTTATCTAGACAATTCTTCATTGGACTTGGGCTTAGGATTAAACATAAAGATTCATGGTCCAAGTTAATAATTTTGGATAACCCAATATTAATTGGACCAAATTAAGTTTACTTACTAACACCCCCCTTTAAACTTGATTTGGTGACTCCAAGCATCATCCTCAATCTTGCAAAGTCTTCTCCTTTGAGTGGTTTGGTGAAAATATCTGCAACTTGATCACGTGATCTTGTATGCTTCAACTCAACGATCCTCTTGGCCACACATTCCCTTATGAAGTGGTACCTTGTATCAATATGCTTGCTTCGATCATGGTAGATGGATTCTTTGCCGATCGATGGCTGACTTGTTGTCAACATATATCTCTCGTCGCTTCTCCTTGTGGCATACTTAACTCCTTCAATATGCTCCTGAGCCGAGATAGCATGACATACACATGATACTGCTGCTACGTACTCGGCCTCGCATGATGACAAGGTGACTATAGGTTGTTTCTTAGAAACCCATGTAAAGGCAAGTGTTGCCAAGGAAGAATGCGAATCCGGTAGTACTTTTCCGTTCGCTCAAGTCTCCGGACCAGTCACTATCACTGAATCCCACAAGCTTGAAGTCATCACATGAGGAATATAACAAGCCAAGATCAATAGTACCTTTGATGTAGCGAAGTATCCTCTTGGCAGCGTTCAAGTGTGTCGTAGTAGGTGCTTCCATAAATCGACTGATAAGTCCCACAAAGAAAGAGAATATCAGGCCTTGTGCATGTTAAATAACGTAGGCTTCCAACAAGGCTCTTGAAGTGAGTTGGATCTACAACATCTCCTTCATCATCTTTTGAGAGCTTTGCTCCATATTCAATGGGGGTGGCTATTGGCTTGCACTTCTCCATG